CCAGTCTCCTTAGTTATCTCCTTCCAACACTTCTCACATTACCAGACTAAATGAAGCAACATATTTTTTGTAGAAACGCCTCTCCAATTGTATTCCAATTAACATTTTTTAATGAGTATGAATTGACTAATCTTAAGGACTGGAGCAATTCTAAAAACTATTCAGAATTAAGTGTAATTGCAAATGTTTTCTCCATGATACCCAATTTCTATAATTTGCAATAGTTCTCAATTTTTATAATGCTATCAGTGCCTTCACCCAAACTACAGGAATGTTGGGCAAAGCATATTTTTCAATAATCTGGTTACAAATAACATATATGAACTATTCATTAAACAAGTAAAAAAAGAAAAAGAACTAATGACTGTTGATACTAGTACTTAAGGAAATTAATTTCAAAAGAGAAAAACTACTTGAAACCTTTTTTGCTAGTGATAAAAACTTCCTACTGTATTGTTACAACATTCCAAGTAACCAGAAAAATAGTCAAAATTCTTAGGTGCTACAATAAAAAATGAAAAATCTGATCAATCTTAAACTTTATGGAGGTTTAGCTTGAGGCCTCCACAGATTACAGAAGTCACAACCTTAAACATTGTCTTTTTCTTCTCCCCTAAATCTGACAAATGAAATAAAGAATTCCAATCTGTTTATTTATTTGATAACACATATTTCCTAATCAAGCACAATAAAAACAAAAACATACACATAAACAAATATTAAAAACAAAAGCAATAGACTTACCAGAAATATGAAAAGAGTATCTTAAAGAAAATTCTTCCATGGCCAAACTGACACAGTATGTGAAAATCAACATAGTAAGAGGACCATGAGATTTTTTTTTTTTTAAACTTTATTTACTTATTTATACCCCCAAAGCCCCAGTAGGCAGTTGTATGTCATAGTTGCACATCCTTCTAGTTGCTGTATGTGGGACTTGGCCTCAGCATGGCTGGAGAAGCGGTGCATCAGTGCACACCCGGGATCTGAACCCAGGCCGCCAGCATCGGAGCGCATGCACTTAACCGCTAAGCCATGGGGCTGGCCCCAAAGGACCATGAGATTTTAATGAAGGTATATCTCCTTCACATAATTTTCCTAGCAAAGAAAAAAAAAATTTTTAGTATTCATCAAGGCAAAAGTTATTGAGCAAAAATCCTATTTTTGATATTACAAAGTTATACTGTTATCTACTCCAACAAATGAAAATGGGAAAATTAAGCAGAATAAAACCCAATCAGAATCGAGAGATAGATGTTCCAGACTCCTGAGTCTAAGCAGTTCTAAGGAAAGGGTTCTAAATCAACCAGGGCACAGTACTCAGTTCTTACAATGTCTAGAATAACTTGGACCTTTGTAAAGCTGTATATTATAAGAGAAGGTAACATGGTCTAGCTAGGTCCTTAGGAAACTGAAACACTGTTCTTATCACCAGACTCAAATAAAATAATCACATATAGGGGATATATTTGAGCCTTAGCTACATACAACCTTCATTTATCTGCAGCCTAGCCAAATGAAAAAGAGGCAAGGTGCAGTAATTGGCATGAAAGTCAAAACTACTTGCTGATCTAAATGAAATTTTTTAGGCAATAGTTCTTAGAGGTCTCCTGTGGCTCAGAATCCTAGGGCTAATTAGTAATGATTTTGTTCAACCTCCCACTACCCTTGGATTTCTAAAGCATCCTTCAAAAGATTATGGAGTCTAAACTCCTTCACCAAAGGCTCTCTCTTTTGTGAACCCGACTGCTAATAGCCAGACTGCTTTCGTGAAGTTCTCTGTAACTGTTACCCTAATGAGTCTAGTTCAACTTCTAGAACAAAACATTTTTCTTTCATCTCTTGCTTTTTATAGTTTTCTTTAAGATCAGAATGTTTAATCATTCACTGGAGAAAATTTGGAGAATTTCAAAAAAACTTAGTCATAATCTTGCAATCTAGAAATATCCACTTAAACATATTGGTATGTTTTCTTTTAGACCTTTATTTTAGTCATATATAGCACTTTAAAAAAATTAAGTGATACTATGTAGTTTTTTATCCTGATCTTTTCACTTATTACATGTAGAATTTTCTTATCTTATAAAAAAGTTATGTGAAAATATTTTATTTAGTGGCCACATAACATTTTATCCTACGGATTTACTATACTTTTCTTAACCAACTTCCCCTTTATATTATTTTCATGTATTTTTTTGGTCCATTATAAATAACACTAGCTGAATGAATACCTTGTACATAAATGTAAAGTATACTTGTAATGAGTATGGCTCAAAGTAGAAAAACTGAATAAAATGTTATGAATTTATAGCTGTTGAAAAACATTTCTATATCTCCCTCCAGAAAGCATACTCCATATTATACCTCAAAAACAACATGAAAATATCTGTCACACTGCATCTTATTAGTAAATAAGTGTAATCATTCTTCAAAATCTTTTTGTCAATTAAGTATGTGAAATTTTTTCTTATTTCTGTTTGAAATAGGCGACGTACTTTTTCTCATATATATTTATTTGTCTATGAATTGCTCACTCAGCTCACTTGCCCATTTTTCTATTAAGTTATCTCTAGCAAAATGGTAATTCTGAATTGCATTTTAAAATTAATTGGTGAAACTCTTATTTATAGTACTATTTAAAAAAATTTTTCATATCAGGGATCCTCTTAATTCTAAAAGAATACACTTGCGCTTTATACTTGAGTCAATTAGCGGTACAATAGAAAGGTCATAGTCAAGGATTAATTATCATAATGTTGATGATTCAAATCTGCTTCCTATGACAAACCATTTCTAAGTTTAACTGTTACCACACAAATGGGGTTCTCCTACCCAACGCACATTAAAAAAAAGCCTATTATTATGGCATCAGCTTTTGGGAAAAGAAATCAGCTTTATTTTGTGAGATCAATCTGCAGGGAGACAGGGGGCGTGAGCCCTCAGATCTGTCTCCCCAGTCCAGGGCTTGGGACACAATTTATGGGATGAAGGACAGGGCGGTCTGAAGTGTAGAGATAGATGATTGGAGGTAAGGAGAAGTGAGGTAACTGATGATCTGCACAAGCGTAGTTAAGCTTCATGCCTCTTCATAGGATGCATGTGAACAAAGTGGCGGCATGACCATGATCTGAGGGTGGAGTTTTTAGCTCCTTGATGTCAAAAAGGTCATTTACCCAGCATTTGTGCAGGCCCAGTTGATGGGTTGGTGATTTCAACTGGCCTGAACTGAACAAGGGGTCTCAGTTCCTGAAAGACAACTCTTAATTACTCAGTTGATAAGATGGGACCAACTGAACTGGTCCTGGAGGGCCTGAGATTATATAACTGATCATACATGGTATTTTCTGAAACAAACATTCTGAAAAAGGTAGTTTGCTTTATAAGGCTCACAGTGTCACAGTTTCAAGTCAACAATCCTAGGAACTATTAAGCTTTGTACTGTTACAGGAAAATGGCTCTTTTTAGTAAACAGGTGGCCAGAGGATCACAACTTCATTGTGACAAGAGACAAAATAAGAAGAGATTTAATTTAAATTGTATAGTAACTGATATGTAAATATTCATTAACCTTTCTTATCCATCAAAAGAGGCTAATGGTTAATCCAGTACTTTATGTTCTCAAAATCACTTGGGTTAATGGTTTGACATTCTCTTGGAAAATGAACAAAAAAATCAAAAGCTTTGGGGACTCGGTTTTAACATGAAATTTAACCAAGGCCGAGTCAAAGATATTGGGGCCTACAAATTTATTTTTTATAGATTTGAGCTTTTCTTTTTTTTTTTTTTTTAAAGATTTTATTTATTTATTTTTTTCCCCCCAAAGCCCCAGTAGATAGTTGTGTGTCATAGCTGCACATCCTTCTAGTTGCTGTATGTGGGACGCGGCCTCAGCAAGGCCGGAGAAGCAGCGCGTCGGTGCGAGCCCGGGATCCGAACCCGGGTCGCCAGCAGTGGAGCGCGCTCACTTAACCACCAAGCCACGGGGCCGGCCCGATTTGAGCTTTTCTAATACTGATTTATAAACTTGCCATATGTTAATTACCCTAAACACTTCTCAGAGTTGTTGAAAATCCCAAGTTTGTTATTTACTCTTTAATTTTGTTTCTGTTAAAGACGTTTTTAGTTATATAGGAATTTATTGACAATTTCCTGTTTTCCATTGGTTTTACTTGAGAAGGTCTTTCTCTATCCACACTTAATTACCTATTTTTTCTACTTTTAATGGCTTAAGGAAAATTCTTAACTCTTTAATCAATTGTTGTATGATGTGATGAACAATATAATTTACATGTTACCCCCTGATTTGTAATGCCAAATTTATCATGTATAAATGTCTTATATTTTCTGGAGTCCCTTCTGGTCTGTTTATTTCCACTCATGTGTGTCTGTTCTTATACTAATACTACTCTGTTTTATCATTGTTTTAAAGTATGTTTTAATGTCTGATAATGTGCCTCACCATCTGGTCATTTTTTTTCCTCAAAACATTTTCAGCTAGCTCTATTTGTTTTAAGGATCAACTTTAGAGTTATTATCAATTTCCTCCTCACTCTCTGAAAACAATTACCATTGGGATTTTGCTGGAAAATACACTATATTTGTAAATTAATTTGGGGTGAATTAATGTTAATTTTGTTTTCCAGTTTTAGAACATGGTACATTTCTCTATTCAGATATGTGTGCATGTGTCAAGTTTTACATTTGCACAATAAATCTAACATTTCATTTAAAAGTTATTCCTAGTTATGTGGTTTTTTGTTGCTAATTATAATTGACATGATTTTTCCATCATATCTTTTAACTAATTTTTATTGGAATGGTTTTGAGGAGATGATTGTTGTATAATTAATTTATATCTATTTTTCTTAATTTGACCTAGTTATGTGACACATAATACATTTTTCAGTATTAAACTATCCTTGCATTCTTGGGATATATCATACTTGGTTATGTTAAATATTCATTGAATAATCTATTGACCTCAAGCATTGAGTTAACCCCTAGAGCTTGTGAGCCTTATCTGCAAAAATTGAAATAGAGTCATAAAACTTTTTCGGGAAGGAGATAGGAAATATTACATATGTTTTATGTACTAATTCTAAGTAAAGAACAACAGATATATAGTTCATTGACATTATAAATAACAAAGCCAATGTATTCTTTCCCCCTTTTTCTTTATTTCTTTGTTCCTCCAAACTTGGTGTACTCTGACATCCTATTAATAAAGAAGCAATAAGGATACAACAATCTAATCTTTTTTTCTAAGCAGCACAATTTTAAGAATAGGAATGAAAATATATATTTCTAATTCAAGCACAGCAGAAGCTTGGTTTCTTTTATGTTGATTAATATGCATTCTCTCATTTAATTCTCAAAACAACCTCATGAGGCAGTGCAAGTGATATTCAGTAAAGCAAGAAAGGAAGAAGCATAGATAATTTCCAAGGATCCTGGGCCCAGATTCTGCATTCTCCCCATAAGAAGTTATGGCTTTGTTGATGCTAAATTGTCTCAGGAAACAGGAAAGCACCATGTTTATTAACATTCCCTTAAGTAGAAACACAAAGATTGTTAGTAAACCTACTTCTGGGATAGAAATGTAAGTCCAAAAAATAAAATGACAGTGGTTTAGCAATTGGCTGTTTTATCAACTCCGGCAGGACTCCACCTAAGTGGAGAGTGACTTTGGTATCTGGGTTGTTGTTAGGGAGTCAAAGGCCAGCAAAATGTCACACATCCTCTCCCTATGGGCAGTCACCTTGTTTCCTTGGGCATTTGTATCCTTGACTAAATAATTTGGGAATTTAAAACACACATGTATGTGCGTGTGGTGGTGATAGTTGGGTATTTCTTCTTGTAAATCACATGAAAAGTTACTGGTAGATATTATTATCCTCATGTCACAAATAAGGACACTGAATCTCAAAAAGCTTTGGGAACATTCCCAAAGTCACTGAACTACTATGTGGTAGATCTGAGATCTGGACCCAGGACCATCAGATTCCAGAACTCTGGACTGCAATATCCTATCACCTTGGGTAACATTGGTCAGCCAGCCCAAACCCTGTTTCTATTTTCCTTTTCTCTAGTCACCTCCCAGTCAGGTGTGGCCATATGACAAATCTGGCCCAAGAGACTTAAATCTGCTACAGCATTCTTGGAAATGTATATGCTTTCTCCATGGTGATAATCCTTCCCTGTGCACTTCCTTCCTTTTTTCTCCAGTATAATAGTGAGAACTGACATAGCCAGTATGGAACCATTAGGAAAAGTCCAAGGGAACTGCAGTAATGGCAGCCTTGACAGAGTTGATCTGTTGAACTAGTGGCGCATCTGCCTATCTCTGGATTTCTCTTTCTTTCAAAATAATAAATTTAAGTCACTGTAATCAGGTTTCTGGCTAATATCTAATTGATAAACCCCTTTAATGCCTTGTCTATGAATATTATTTTGCCTGATAAATATACTCTCAATTTTCTTGTGTTACATTTGTCTAAAACTACTTTATTCGTCCTTTATTTTTAGTATTTCTGGGCAAGTTTAATTTAGATATGACCCAAGTAAGCAGCATATAGTTGAGTTTTATTTTTAACTTAATCTGAGAGAGTGTTCAGGTTAATCTCAATTACAAAAAAAATACTGACAGTAAGACCATTTCAACATCACATAAGAAGAGACTAATTTATGTCATCTCTAAGTCACACAATGAATATAAAACAATCTAAGAATATTTCATAAAGGAAAATCAATAGCATAGTTCTTCATGGGAAATTAGTTACCTATTAATTTTTTGCCTGATCCAAATCCTTCATAAACCCACAGGTGACCTTGACAGGCCAAGGGTGTTGGTTTCATCTGGAAGTTGATAATATCAAGGCGAACGATGTGATTTAAAGGGGCTAATAACCTCCAGCGGCAACTAAGGCACAGATGAAGGAAAGCCAGAAATGCTTTGCACAGATGAAAGTCAGAAATGCTTTCCAAACAGCATATACTGTTATTTACTTTGTTCAGAATTTAATGCATCACTCAGTGAGTCACTGTTATTGACTCCATCTGCTTCTTGGTGGTTGGTTGAAAAAAGACTTTTACTTTAAATTATAACAACTAAAAAATATTGTCTAATACTTAATTTGTCAGAAGTTTTAACTAAGTTCACCCATTATGGTGAACGGTTGGTCAATCATGTATATTACTCTAAATTCTGACTGGCAATCTGTAAGAGTTAAGGACCTATTCTTGCCAGAATATGCCCCAAACTCCCCCAAATCACATCAATTTAGGATTGATATTATATAAGTCTTCACTTTTCATTTCTCACTTTAAATTTATTCTAATGTTTAATTCAGGGAAATTTCTCTTTCCATTGTGACATTTTAAGCACTATTTATTGAGAAAGTACTATGTGCCAGAGGTTTTACGTATTTTATTTCAATCTCTAAAACTCTTTGATAGAGATTTGATTTTCCACTTTACCTAATAAATGGTCTCCTTTGTTGAGAAAGTACAATTCATCAACACGGATAATCTTACATTCAGTTTTTGGATATTGAAGGCCTTGGATCAGGGATTACCTCAAGATCTATTCTTTAGAAGGGGAGGTAGACAATAATGCCTTAAGCAAATACCAAGTGTTGCTGCTTGTCAGGTGATCTTGCACAAACTTCTTTCATCATAATAAATATTCCTTCCTCACCTCATAGTGGTTCTGTGAAAATATCTTGGGATCTGTATGATTCCTGCTGGTTTGGTCAGAATAACATCCTCACAAGTGGCCACGTGCTCTTGGTTTGAACTCTGGAGAAATTTAGTAGTTTTACTGCTCTTTGGACCTAGAAATAAAGAAGAAAGGAGATTGAGAATAAAACTACTTTTTAAGAGGCTTGTTAAATGTCTTTTCGGATCAGAGCAGTCAGCTTTCCTTCCTAATCGTTTTAGAAATAAGTTAACAGGAAGTGGTTAGTTTCACTGAAAAGCCTCTATCTGAAACATTTAAAGATACAGAAAACCAGCACCTCTCTCAGAATCATCTTTGGCATAGCCTAGGGTCTATGGAAGATAATGTGGGATAACTACAGATAATACCAGTTCCTTGCACAATTCCTTCTAAAAGCAACATTCTTAATGTAGTTCTTTAGGAAAAAACTTTCCTATGATAAGCATGCTTTTCTTTATTATTCACTTAATTTTTTCCAAAATATATCTCTGCAATGCTTTTTGGTGACACAGAGAGAAGCTAGCTTTTGGTTACCCACGCTCATCAAGAGTCAAAAAGCCTCACTAATCACGTTTTAAAATGCAATCCGATAACTCCAAATTACATCGAGTTTACATTTATGATGCTAGCATCTAACATTTGTGTAGTTTGGTTTCAAAACTCATTCTAACCTTTTATTATTATAATATCACTTATAAAGAAAATCCTGATAGAGAAATAATAAATTGTCCAGAGCTAATCAGCCAGCTAAGATTTAGAACCCAAATCTCCTGATCCACAAGAATTAGGGCTGCAGGAAAAGCTCTCTGTGGTGTAAAATCACAATAACAGTCAAAAATGTTATCTTGCAATCAACATATCTTAGCCATGTTTAGAAATCACAATTCTGGATGATTATAAGTCAATCAAGTTACCTACTGAGCAGTTTCTCTTTTGGACCTGACCAATCTCAGATCACTTAAATAGATTTTCCTTTCAAACATAAATTGACTCCCCACAGAAACATAACTTCTTACAAAACAATGTATAAGTTTTGAAATATTCCTAAAAAGAAAAACATTGACTTTTAACTTTATAAGTTTTTAAAATGACCAAACATACCTTGGACTCTAAAGACAATATAACTTATGCCAAAAGCGCCTTGCACAAGGGAGTGAAATGCCACCCTCACCAGTGGTCCAGAGCTCGTGAAAATCATTGGGTAAAGCCTTCTTCCACATAATTCACCTAGGTTAAAAAAAAATCAAATCTAATAAAAAACAAGAACATTCGTTTTTAGCCGTTTCTCTACTTTAGGCATAGCAATTAATGAAACCTATGAGGTAGGAATTTACTCCACTCTACAAAATGAGGAAACAGGGCTCCAGAACTCAAATGACTCCCCCGAAGTCACAGACTGGTAGAATGGGGAGTCAGGATCCAAACCCAGGTCCATGAATCCAATACCCAACATAGGCTACTATGTCACACTGCTTCCTTGAAGGACAGCAGGTAACAAATCGTTTTATCTTTAAAATGACCCTAATGTGCCATTTTTCTCCTAGAAAAGTAATCTACTTATTAAAAATATCTCACTGCAAAAATCCACAATGGAAAACGTTCTATTTGAAAATTTATTCTTCCCCTAACATCAGTCTTCTTTTGATTGCTTTACTTTGAGAACCAATGTCAAAGATGGAAGGGAAAATTATAACCATAATTCTAAAACAATTCAGAGGGTTGATTAAGAAGGTGTGGAACCTGTGAGTTTCTCAGAGTCAAACTCATCCACTATTAAAAATAATTCAGGGGGGCCGGCCCTGTGACCAAGTGGTTCAAGTTCCGTACGCTCCGCTTTGGCGGCCCAGGTTCGTGGGTTTGAATCTTGGGCATGGTCCTACTCCACTCATCAGCCATGCTGTGGAGGTGACCCACATACGAAATAGAGGAAAACTGGCACAGATGTTAGCTCAAGGCTAATCTTCCTCAAGCAAAAAAAAGAGGAAGATTGCCAATGGATGTTAGCTCAGGGTGAATCTTCCTCACCAAAAAAAAAAAAAAAAAAGAATAATTCAGTATCATTCTGTAACATTTATTTAAATGTCACCTGCTCAGAAAGACATTTGCTGGTTATACTACATACAACTATACGGCACCTACATCCCAGATACTTTTTCTCTCCCTTCTCACTTCATTTTCCCCAGTAGCTCTTTTACCTAATATATTGTATATTTTATTTTATCTTATTGTGTGTCCTCTCCCCACTAGAATATAAGCTTGGTAAGGACAGGGATGTTTTTGTCCACTTTGCTCACTACTGGATCTCCATAACCCAGAAAAGTCGATCTCTGGCCTACAGTAGGCACTCCACAGATATTTGTAGGGAGGAAGGGAGAGAGGAGATTATATCCAAGAAGAAGAAAAAACATTAGTTGGCATAACATATTAGGGTAAAATGATGTTGAAATACTATTTGAAGAACGATCAAATATTTATTTGTAGCAAGTAGAGATGAATGCAGCTCTTGAATGAGTTGCTGGCTCCCACAGGGAAAAAGATAGCATTTTCCAGTACAGAAAAGTACTATCTGACTTGAGTAAGGGGTAATATTTCCATTACGGTATTGCAGTTCTGCTAGCTACCATCTGAAGAGACAGAGCAATTCCACAAAGGTCAAGCTGACAATTTCAAGTCAAAGAAATGCTAGGTTGGAAAATTATAGGGGTTCCCTAGTTAATCTACAACAAAGTCAAGCATGGTTTTCAATAGCTAATAATGATAAAGGAAGGTTTTCTTAGAAAATGCTTCTTTCTATATGAGACTCTAGTATATGGTAAAGATAATGCTATAAATTGGAGAGAAAATTTTTTTTTAAAAGAAGCAGACATAAAGTCACTTTACCATATGAGAAAATACATTTCAGCAAGATTAAAGTTTTGTTTTAATTAATTTTTTCCTGACCTCAGAATGGGGAATGAATTTTTAAAAATAAAAGCAATGAGATAAATCAAAGATCAAAGATGTATATGGATAGATTTAAACCAATCAATTTTAAAATGTTTACATCAACATATAATAAACAAAAAGGCAAATGACAACCTTATGAATAAGCACTTATAACTTTTGACAAAGAAAAAAATCATTATACATAAAGCTCTTCTAAACCAATAAAAACAACAATATTCAAATTTAAAAATGGATGGTAATGACAAGAAATAAGAAAGTACAAATAGCTAACATATGAAAGAAATACTTATCCCCCTTAATGATTTAAAAAAAAAGTAAAAGTACCTATTATATTGAGATATTTGGTTATGGGCATGGTGAAAGAGGTCTCATGTATTGCTAATGGCAGTGAAAACTGATTCAGTCTTCCTGAAGAGTAATTTAGCAATATGTATTCACGCAAAAAAAAAAGTTCTGAGTTCTGAGTCTCTAGGCATTATCCCAATTTGGGGAGATACAGAGAGAACAAAATAGCAGGATCTCTGCTCTCCTGAAACTTTCATTTTAGTCAGGGAAATGAAGAAGATGATTTCAAATAGAGACCATGGCTACAAATGAAATAACCAGCGTAATCCGATAGAAAATGACTCTGGGAGGGAACGGATGATGCTACTGTCAACTGCGAAGGCCTCTCTGTGGAGGCAACCTTTCGGTCATTCACTCATTTACTAAATGCCTTCTATGTGTCAGGCACTGTTCTAGGCAGCGGGGATTCTTGAGGTGAAGAGAGAAAAGTTTCAGTCCTTATGGAGCTCACATTCAACCGCGAGACACAGACAAACCATAAACATGAAAAAAAAAAAAAACCCATCATACGTTAGAGGACAATAAGTGCCAAGAAAAGGGCATTCACCAAGAAGCACAGAGGCGGGGGTGATGCAGGTTACATCAGTCAAAGCAGGGCTCATGAAGAAGGTGAGATGACAGTCAAGACTTGAGGGAGGTGAGGGGCGAGGATGAGAAGGAGCTCCTTGAAGAGCTGCGAGAAGTAGATGGACAAGGGCCCCGAAGTATGAAAGTACCTGGAGTGTGATGAGTGTGAGAGGGAGGCAAAAGGCCATGCTAGGTCATGTGGATTTTATTCCAGTGACAAGAAGACCCTGAAGACCGTTTTAATCAATGTGGATGGGGGAAGTGATCTGATCCTAGGGGAAACGTGTAAAGTGGATAGGCCAGTTAAGTTTTCTCCGTAGTCTACATGAAATAGTATTTATAGAGCAAGATTCTTTAAATAAATATTTGTGCCTTCTAAATCAATGATTTAATCTCTCAGAATTTATCCTAAAGAAATAATCTCACCCTCAAAGCACTTTTCCTGGCCTCCATATTCTCCTGAATCAAACACGTGCATATGTGCATGTACTACGCACACTCACCATAACATACATAAACGTCTTTTCTTTCCAGGTTTCCCCATCAACTAAATTATTTCCAACACCCTCTCACCTCCCTCTTTACTGAGAGCCAAAAGCCTGTAGTATACCCATACAAACAAGAAGTGGGAAGTTTGTTTTGTTGAACAAAAACAGATTTGCCTGTACCTGAAATGAAATGACAGCTGATATGCTATTAGCAAATCTTTTTAAATCTGCCATTTAAAAACCCTTTAATGTATTTTGCTTTATGTTAAAATTCAACACCCCCTCTCAGCCCGAGTTTTAATCATCTTAAGTCCTTCTCTATCATAGATACATTTCTGGCATTCTGGCATGGTTCTGCTATGTTTGAAGAAGTTTGGCCTTCTTGTCTTTTTTTTTTTCCTGAATACACATACATACAAACACACACACTCAACCTTTAGTACATCTGTTCTGTAAATTCGAATTTGGAATATAGTAAGCGTACCTAGAAAAAAAAGGCACGCCTATTACATGGATCAACCCAGCCCTTGTGGTCTAATGGTTAAGATTCGGTGCTCTCTCTGCTGCAGCCTGGGTTCATTTCTCAGTCAGGGAACCACACCACCTGTCTGTCAATTGTCATACTATGGCGGCTGTGTGTTGCTGTGATGCTGAAAGCTATGCCACTGGTATTTCAAATACCAGCAGGGTCACCCATGGTGGACAGGTTTCAGCGGAGCTTCCAGACTAAGACAGACTAGGAAGAAGGAGCTGGCCACCAACTTCAGAAAAAACTGGCCATGAAAACTCTATTAGCAGCAGCCTAGCAGTGTCTGATACAGCACCAGGAGGTGAGAGGATAGAACAAAAAGAGACCAGGCAGCATTCTGCTCTGCTGTCCACAGGGTCACTAGGAGTCGGAATCCACTCAATGGCACTAACGACAAATTACACGAATCAATATTTTGGTGGTATTATTAGCAGGTCAAACTCTCTCTTGATCATTAACTGCCTATTACAGAAAGGCTCCCAGCACAAAGTTTAAATGCCAGTAGGATTACCGGACATCCTTCTCTCACTGTGGCTTTCTTCAGAAATAGTCAGAACTGAATCTCGACACGTATGAGACCCAGGAAGTGACAGATACTCAACCGTCAATTTTGCCATCCTACTCGGTGAAACTCGGAGCACCCAAGAACACTCTAGTTTTCCTCTATAATCCAGTGGATATCTTGGAGTTGAAAAAAAGCCTCTGGGTTCTTCTAGCTCCACTTCAGAGTAACAGCCTGCAATTCAGAATACATGGACACCAGGGACCAACATAAACAAGGCAAAGAAAAGTGAGGTTCTATCACAAACTTGAAAAATTTAGGTTTGTAAGAAGAAAATTAAAACTTTATTACTATCAGTTACAAGTTCTTGGGTAAAAAAGATCATCCCACTTAATGTGTCCTATTTTCTTGAAATGAGATTGTAGGAGTAGAATTTAAATCATAATTATTTAAAATTACTTTTCACCGAATTTTTAAAATTTCTCAGAACATGCACAGTGGACTGTATTCTCTAGTCCCAGCATGTTTTCATTTCTTTCCCTCTTCGAGATGTAACTGAAGATCTGTTCCTAAAAGCTTCACTAATTTCACTGAGCATTTATCTTGCTGGGACAAATGATTACCTTCGTGGAATTTGTGACTGAGGCCAAGAAAAGGAGAATTTGCTGCATACAATTGAATGTCTCTCCCTTCTTCCATTTGCTCTTAAGTCCAAGGGCACTTTGGACCTGCAGGGCTACTGCAGAACTTCAGATGCCAGTAGCTCTCCGGCCCACTGACCCTGTAATTAGCTTCTCCTCCTTCAGGTTACATACTCGACTCTTGCCTCTTCCTCTATGTCTATTTCCTTAACAAAAATCTGAGCAATTACAAATTGAAATACTCTATATACCAATTAACTCATTTTAATGTATGAGTATTAGTTAATTAATACATATGTTATCATATATGCTCTGCCATAGAGAAATTAATAATCTAACCAAAGAGACACAGATGTAAATATACTTTTACGAACAGTAGAATGAAGAGTGGCAGAAAGGAAACGAAATGCTACAAGAATTCAGGATTCTACTTAATTGCCTATTCCTCTATTATTTCTTTATAAATATTCCTTTTTATTTATATGGCTACTATGATCTAATTTTGATATGTATTAGGTCTGCATTGATTTAACAGTAACCTAACTGATTTCCCAGTCTCTAATCTTTGCCTACCATGCCCTCTAATCTGGTGATAGTGTCTGAAACAAAAGAATTCAATTCTTTCCTTGCTCAAAGCAACTAAAGTAGAGCAGCATGCAAGGTCTTTCGTAGTCTGGCCCCAACATGTCTTTCCAATCTTTTCAATCTTTTTTCCTCTCCACATGAATCCTCCGTGACAAGTCTACCTGGAAAAGGAATTCCCAACCAGTCACTGCTTTTTATATAAATGGGGTAAGAATCTCAAAAAACTATTGCTAAGATCCATTAATTCCCTTGTGTAAAAAGCAAGTGGTGGGAGTGGGTGGGTATTAAATATGGCATAGTCCTAACATTTTATCTCGTAAAACATTCATAGAACTAACAGAAAACAATATCCTTTCGTATATAAAACTTTCTTTAGCATGCGTAAGTTTTTCTGACTATACACAAACGAGAAATATCTTCTCTACATTTTAACAATGTTCATTTTCTAATGGCCTCAATGGGACAGTTCAAAGACTACATTAGATGGTCATGAGCATCACCACTTATTGACTCTTATCATTGGTCATGCCATCCCTATTCCAAGTGCTTTAAATACATTAACTTACTTAGGTACTCAGTGAAATTGTTCACTAAACTCAAGCCATTGAAATCATTAGGTTTTAGGATCTTGGACCTAACTGTGCTCTCCACCTCAACCCCAATTCCAGATTTACTTTTAATCTATGTATGACTCTTTGACTCTTGTTTTGACTCTGACTCTTGTGTTGTCAGACCATACCACCCACAACTGGTCCCTGAGTTACTCCTCCTCATTCCTAGAAGATTTTAGCAGTCATTTTCTCCAACACTATTCCTGCCAGAAATCTTGCTGATTTCCACAGCCCTACTGATGATGATTCCAGCACCGAAGCTTCTCGATTTCTCAGCTTTACTGCAATGATCTTGTCCTCCACACAACATCAGCTACTCATCTCAATGGTCAGTCCCTATAGACCTGGTCATTAGTAGTAACTCCAAGCCTTCCAAAATCTCAGTTTCAAGCACCACTCTCTCCAACCACAACCTTCTATCTTTTCAGCTTCTTCTAACACTCCTCCCACCTTTTGAGACGTGTAATTCATTTATCCTAGCACCTTTTCTTTGTCTCTAACTCATCTCTCATGCTTGCTTCACTCTTTTCCTAGCTTAAATTTCCAATGATCCATCATTTTAATCCCTTCCTCATGCACACACTCAATTCCCTTATACACTTGCATACTTGGGAAAACCCACCCTGATTGAATCTACTCTCCATCTGCTCTGCATCTACATAGTACCCCTCAGTGTCTCCAGAGGAAAACATACAACTAAGCTAACTGGTTAGTCTTCCTCTAAATTTATGATCATTAATCTCAGAGGCTCTTATGCTGCCCAACAATCACACTACATTTTCCTGGTTCACGTACTTTATCACTTTTTTAAAGAACTATTTCAGATCTTCTCTTTTTTTTCTTAAAACCCTCAAACCCTCTTCCATAACTCCCAGTTTCATCTGCTGAGAAAATAGAGGCAATTAGAAGAGAACTGCCAGTAGCTCCCATCTCCACATGGTATCCATAAACCACAAGCTACCCATACACCTGCATCTGTGCCTAAACATTCTGCCTTCCATCCAGCAACTATGGATGAACTGCCCTGCGCTCCTATCCAAGAATAATCCTTCTGACAAGGCGCTAGATCTCATCCCCTTTCTTTGACTGAAGGTCATCCCTCTAGCAATTCTCCTCCCTCTCTCGTGCATCTTCTTCAATTTTCGTCCAACTTTTCCCAGTTGTCTACTGGGGTTGAGTGTATGTGGCAGTGGGTAGGGCAGAGATGGGTGAAAAGGGAAATACCCTGACCGTTTGGAAACCAAGAATTATGGTACCATAGAACTTTCATCTCCCTACAAGTCTATTACAGACTTCTAATTCTCCAGTTGCTGTTTGCTTTTAATGAAAAGTCAAAATCCTATTAGCAAACAAACACTGACAATTGTGAGAGAAGTAAGAGAAACACTAACCCTGATGCTGGTCTTGGTCATCTCACATCCAGAGTCTTCATCTTGCAAGATACCTGCAAGTCTAAGGATCTTTGTTCATATAGGAATAAATAGCTCAGAGGTCAGGAGAATTCTATGCACTTCTCCAAAATTCAAGCACTTGTTGACAATCACAAGATTTTTAATTTTTTTTCACCTGCAACAGCTGTATCTATGGAGTAGAAAAGATCCCCAGACAGTCACAATAACAACTCTCCTTTCTTTCAGCTTAAACTACCAACCAGAATGAAAATACAGAGTATAGTGTTCCAAAGAAAATGAGTGAACCTAGACATGCAATGCCTTTTGCTAAGTTCTTACTAGCTGTATTAACGGGATAACATGAACATCTATTACCTGGCCCAGACCCACTGTCTGTTGAAGGTGTGGGTGGTGGCAATTGTTGTCTTCTTAAGGTTTTACTTTCATTATTTATCTGAAGTGAAGCAGGACCTGTATCTGGAGAGAACATGTTAAAAATAAAGATGAAAGCCTGAAAACAAAATGTAGTCTGTACCAAAGCAGCTTTTGTCAAAAGAGAATGCAAATCTAGGATTAAAGCAGCTCAGAAAAGATCAGTTTTACCCTAACTCTGCCCAAGGGAGAACTTAGTCCTACAGAATTTGAACGTGCTTAGAAACTAAGATAAATGAAATAATACTTTAGGGTCTTTTCTTTCATAATGCTGATTTCTACCACACTCACTTCTCTCAAACCCACTTAAAAGAAAGAGGCATTGTTTTCATAACATCTGAAAAATATTTACCTTTGATTTTGGATTGGATCCAGTCCAAGAAGACACTCACCCTGGCAAATACACCTGGCTTCCTTGGCTGGGCACAGCCAGCTTCCCACCTGATGATGCCATAGAGGACAAAGGGACCTTTTTCATGTCTACATACTAATGGCCCTCCAGAGTCTCCCTGAAATACCAAGGAAACATGTTCTAGAAAATTGCTTTAATCAGAGCTCCTGCTTTCAATTTTGGAACAGGAATAACCAATAATGTATTCATAACACATTTCTTTAATTTTTAAAAAATTTATCCTTTGTCTATTTGTATAACTTAGAATACTTAGACTCAAATGTGTAAAATCACAAATGAAAGAGGAGACATTACAACTGATACCACAGAAATACAAAGGATCATAAGAGACTACTATGAACAATTATATACCAAAAAATTGGATAACCCACAAGAAATACATAAATTCCTAGAAATATACAAGCTATCAAGACTGAATCATGGGCCGGCTCCGTGGCTTAGCGGTTAAGTGCGCGCGCTCTGATGCTGACGGCCCGGGTTCGGATCCCGGGAGCGCCCCGAGGCACCACTTCTCCGTCCAACGCGAGGCCGAGTCCCACGTACAGCAACTAGAAGGATGTGAACCTATGACATACAACTATCTACTGGGGCTTTGGGGGGAAAAAACTGAAAAAAAAAAATCTTTAAAAAAAAAAAAAAAAAAAGACTGAATCATGACGAAATAGAAAATCTGAACAGACCAGTATAAGTAAGGAGATTGAATCAGTAATGAAAAACATCCAGCAAAGAAAAGCCCAGGACCAGATGGCTTCACTAGTGAATTCTACTAAACATTTAAAAGAGAATTAACTCCAACCCTTCTCAAACTCTTCCAAAAAATTAAAGAGGAGGGAACACTCCAAAACTCATTTTACAAGACTAGTATTACCCTGACACCAAAGCCAGATAAGGACACTATAAGAAAAGAAAATTACAGGCCAGTAGCCCTGATGAACAAAGATGCAAAAATCCTCAACAAAATACTAGCAAACTGAATTCAACAGTACCTTAAAAGGATTATATACCATGATCAAGTGGGATTTATTCCAGTGATAAAGGATGGTTCAACATATGTAAATCACTAAATGTGATACACCACATTAATAGAATGAAAGTTAAAAATCATATTATCATCTTAATAGTACAGAAAAAACATTTGACAAAATGTACCATCCTTTCATGATAAAAACTCTCAACAAATTGATCACAGATGGAACATATCTCAACATAATAAAGGCCTTATATAACAAATCCACAGCTAACATCATGCTTAACAGTGAAAAGTTGAAAGCTTTTCCTCTAAGATCAGGAAAAAGACAAGGGTACACACTCTTACCATTTCTATTCAATATAGTATTGGAAGTACTAGCCAGAGCAATCAGGCAAGAAAAAGAAATAAAAGGTATCCAAATCAGAAAGGAGGAAGAAAAACTGTATTTGCAAATGATATGATCTTATATATAGAAAATCCTAAAGACTCCACCAAAAAACTGTCAGAACTAATCAACAAATACAGTAAAGTTTCAGGATACAAAATGAACACAGAAATCAGTTGTGTCTCTATATACTAACAATGTAATATATAAAAAAGAAATAAAGAAAACAATACCATGTACAATAGCCTCAAAAAGAATAAAATACTTAGGAATAAATTTAACCAAGGAGGTGAAAGATCTCTACATTGAAAACTATAAGACTTTGATGAAAGAAATTGAAGACGACACAAATAAATGGAAAGATATCACATGTTCATGGATGGGAAGAATTAATATTGTTAAAATGTCCATACTACTCAAAGCCATCTATAGAGTCAATGTAGTCCATAATCAAAATTCCAATTTTGTATTTGGAATTCTGTATTTTTCACAGAAATAGAAAAAACAATCCTAAAATTCATATGGAACCACAAAAGACCCCGAATAGCCAAAGTGCTCCTGAGAAAGAACAAAGTTGGAGGCATCACACTTCCAGATTTCAAAATATATTACAAATCTATAGTAATCAATGCAGTGTGGTACTAGCATAAAAATAGATACATAGACCAATGGGACGGAATCATGAGCCCAGGAAAATACCTTCACATATATAGCCAACTAATATTTGACAAGGGAGCAAAGAATACAGATCCTCCTCAACTTATGATGAGGTTACATCCCAATAAACCCATCATAAGTTGAAAATATCATAAATCAAAAATGCATTTACTACACCTAACCTACCGAACGTCATAGCTTAGCCTAGCCTACCTTAAACGCACTCAGAATACTTACATCAGCCTACGGTTGGGCAAAATCATCTAACATAAAGCCTATTTTATAATGAAGTGTTGAGCATCTCATGTAATTATTGAATACTGTACTGAAAGTGAAAAACAGAATGGTTGTATGGGTACAGAATAGTTTTAAGTGTATCGGTTGTTTACCCTCGTGATCACATGGCTGACTGGAAACTGTGGCTCACTGCTGCTGCCCAGCATCAGGAAAGAGTATTGTATCACATATTCTTAGCCCAGAAAAAGACCAAAATTCAAATTTTGAAGTACAGTTTCTACTGAATGCGTATTGCTTTTGCACCACCTTAAAGTCGAAAAATCGTAAGTTAAACCATCGTTAAGTCGGGGACCATCTACACTCAATGGGGAAAAGATAGTCTCCTCAATAAATGGTATTGGGAAAACTGGATAACCATGTGTAGAAGAATGAAATTGGACCCCAATCTTACACCACTCACAAAAATTAACTTGAAATGGATTAAAGACTTAAACGTAAGTCCCAAAACTGTAGAACTCCTAGAAGAAAACATAGGGAAAAAGCTCCTTGACATTGGTCTTGGCAACAATTTTTTGGATATGACACCAAAAGCACAAGCAACAAAAGCAAAAATCAATAAGTGGGACTACATCAAACTAAAATTCTACCCCACATCAGAAGAAACAATCAACAAAATGAAAAGGCAACCTACGGAATGGGAGAAAATATTTGCAAACCATATATCTGATCAGGGGCTAATATCTAATATATTTAAAGAACTCATACAAATCAGTAATAAAAAACAATGCAACTTAAAAATGGATAGAGGATCTGAATAGACATTTTTCCAAAGAAGACATACAGCTGGCCAACAGGTACATGAAAAGGTGCTCAACATCACTAATCATCAGGGAAATGCAAATCAAAACCATAATGAGATATCACCTCACACCTGTTAGAATGACTATCATCAAAAAGACAAGAGATAAAAGGTGTTGGCAAGGATGTGGAGAAAAGGGAACCCTTGCCACTGTTCATGGGAGTGTAAATTGGTATGCCAATATGGAAAATAGCATGGCGGTTCCTCAAAAAATCAAAAATAGAATGACTGTATGATCCAACAATTCCATTTCTGGGTATACAGCCAAAGGTAATAAACATAGGATATAGAAGAGGTATCTGCACTTCCACGTTTATTGCAGCTTTACTCACAAGAGCCAAGATATGGAAACAACCTATTTTTCCATCAGAGGATGAATGGATAAAGAAGTGGTGGTATATATATAAAATGGAATATTATTCAACCACGAAAAAAGAAGGAAATCTTGCCATTTGTGACAACATAGATGGTCCTTGAGGACATTATGCTAAGTGAAAAGTCAGACAGAGAAAGACAAATACTGTATATCCCTTATATGCGGAATCTAAAAAAGCTCAACTCATAGAAACAGTGAGCAGAATGATGGTTACCAGGCACTGGGGGACGGAGAAAATGAAGAGATGTTGCTCAAAGGGTACAAACTTCCAGTTATAAGACTAACAAGTTCAATGTACAGCATGGTGATTATAGTTAACAATACTGTTATTACATACTTGAAAGTTGCTTAGAGAGTAGATCTTAAATGTTCTCAGCACAAGAAAGAAATGGTAATTATGTGAGGTGATGGAGGTGTTTACTAACTCTCATGGTGGTAAGCATTTAAGAATATATAAGTGTATCAAATCATCACATTGTTTATCTTAAACTTACACAATGTTATAAGTCAATTATATCTCAAAACTAAAAAAAAAAAAACAACCCTTACAACATAGGATTTGCATTTTAAGGTAGCCTTTCTGATTTTTAATCAGGCCTTTTTTTTTTTTTTTTTTTTTTGCATAATGTGTTTAGGACCAAACTAAATCCTTAATTGAATTGTCTTCCTAAAATATAAACTAAGCTGATGACATATTTGATATAGCTGTTTATTTTAAATGAAGAAGTTCCCAGAAGAAATCCTAAATGTGGAGTAAGGAGATAATTTCCTAGTCTGTAATGTAGAACAATTAAAATTTTCTCTGGGCCCATTTTTTTCCACATAAAATAAGATTATATTTAAGACCCTCTTCCAGTTTGAAAATGATCTAATGTGTCAAGTCAGGTTTTTTGGTTTTTTTTTTAATCACTCATTCATTCAGTACCAACACATACCCAATATAGAATTTTTCAGGCAATTAGAAACATTTCACAATAGTGAAAGAGCTTGTCTAATTTATCTTTTATTGCCAGTGCCTATCACAGGGCCCAGCATATGGAAAATATTCAGTAAACAAATGGTACCTATTAATTACTTTAAAAATTATTCAGTGCCTACCGTGAGCTAGGAATTCTGAGAAAGACAGAGTATAAACAAATTAGATGGTGATAATCGATATAGAGAAAATATTCAGGGCGAAAACTAGAGAATAAAGGTAGGTGTGAGCATACTTACATGCACATGTATGTGTATGCAGTTTCAATAACATTTGAGCCGATACATGAAGGATGAGAAGGAGCCAAATTTTCAAAAACCTGGAGGAATAGCATTTTATGCAGACTTGATATCTGGGCAAAGGCCCCAAGTTAGGCAAGGATGTGGCGAGGTGGGAGTTAGAAGGCAGTCAGTGTGGCTACAATATAGTAATCAAGTAGACAGAAGTATGAAATAGATTGGAAAAGTCAGCAGGAACAGGTTACACATTACTGTGAAGAAAGAGATCACTTTGTAGGCCAAAGAACCTGAAATTTAAAAAAAATCTAAAATCTAAAATTTGTTGTGAGCAAAGAACCACAAGATTCTACATTGCATATCTGACACTCCCACATCTCTGCATTCCAACATTCTGATTTTCACCTTCCTGGATGAGAAATTACATTAGCAGGTCCATTACCTCTGAGCATTCGCAAGAGGGTAAAAACCAATTACCTGACAGAAATATTAGAGCCCATTTTATCTAAGCAAGTTTCTGAAGTCACCTTTTAGTAATTCAGTGTTCTTTGTAGAAGAACATTAGCTGCATTTATTACTCAGAATCTCAACTCCTATTTTTCTTCCCTTGTATTGACTGTAAATTTGGTCATGCTGCAGTCAAAGTGACAGTTGGATGCAGCTGAAATAAGAATAGGTGACAACTGAGAGCACGATATTTGGGTCACCTCTGACATGGACCTCATTCCCTACCTCGTTCTTCTTTGCTCTCTTGATACAAATTAAGGTCTTCTCTTAATGTTAGATGCTGTCAAATATGACAGAGACAGTAGAGCCATTTGTGATTTTCTTGATTCAAAGCAGGAAGAAAAACCATCTCTCAAAAGGGGAAGAATGAACATATTAGTTCAGAGTACTTTTCTATTTGGTTTTCATAATATAACGTTTATGTCCTCTAGCAGACTGTGTGAGTGCCATTCCCACATTCCTCAGATCTTGCAGTCCACATCCTGCCTCTGTGCCTAAGGGCTTTCCCCCCTCCGGCCCACCCATGAGGCAGGCCAGAAGTGTAGGAAGTACTCCCCCTGCAGCTCTGAAGCTATGACTTTGGAGAAGTGGTGTATCAATATTTCAGCTCCCTCACCCCTTGGGTGGGACAAATATGCTGTGTGTATTTTGCATCGCTGCAGGGTTAAGCTCAGACCCTCACAGTGGTAGCTGGTTTAGTAGCACATCCTAGATTGGCTACCTTCCTTCCCCTATACCACCTCCTCTCTTTCCTGCTAGTGATACCTGCACTTCCTTAATAGACCACTTGAATCCTTGTCTCAGGGTCTGCTTCTTGGGAATGCAAATTAAGATACATAAGATACAAATTTGAGTAGTGCCTGACAGCTCAAAAGGGTTTAACTACAATAAATTTATATTCAGTGTTAAGAGGGGGCCTCCTTCCTTCTCTCCTCATATTTTCACATGGAAAGACTTCTACCCAGATTAATGCCCAGTTTTCTCTGCATAGAGGTGACATCTACTGGTTCATGTTTCTTAACTGAGTTGGGGAAAAAAACTATCAAAAAGCAGCAAAGACTCAGAGATTCATTCTTTCTTCCCTCTTTACTCTAGACCAGTAGGAAATGATAAATATGGAGAAGTTTGCTCTCAGACCCAAACTTTCCCCTACATGCTAATCCAGACTAGCATTAAAGGTGGGCTACAGAGTGTTAGAAACCCTTTTTTGGTTGTATACCTGTAGTCACATTCCTCAGTTGGTGTTGTGGATATTAAAGGTGGTGTTTTGCAATCCAGTCATTCACATCCTGTCTTTTTCTTAGTTGATTCTGAACTTGCCAATAGCATGCTTGCCCGACTGACATGTGAATACATCTGTACAGCTTTGTGCCTCTGTAATATCACTGAAATTAAACTATTGCTTTGTTTTTGCTATTTTTCACTGCATATGAAAACCATTTTTTCAAAAGTTCTCATTTTCTTCTTTGTGATTATTTTATTTTAATGCGTAGAGGAAAATTAAGTGTGAGTACATAGGAGATAATTTAAAACAATAAAACTCCTAAGTTATAAGTAGGACACACTAATTTAGAATCCTTATTTGCTTATTCCCCTTTTGCCAAAGCCTTAAATATATCTGAACACATCTTCCCACCGGCAGGCCAGTTGACTGGTGCTGCCATCTCTTACCTTCCTCATCAGCTCCTCTACGTACCCATCTTGCCCTTCTGGCTGTACAGCTGCTTCTGCCCACTCTCCGCCATCTCAGCAACTTTGGATTAAGTAACTCACTCTTCCTCTTCTCCTACTGGCCTTCACGTTGGGCTGTGGTGTGGTGTGATGCTGCGAGGTGCAGGCTACGATGGCTGTCTGTGGCTTTGAGAGTGGTTTTCTCTTGTCTAAGGAGAATCTCCAGCAGATGACAATTTTCTATCTTCCCCTGCAAAATCAGAATCCTCTCACCTGACAGAAATCTTTCCCTCCAGATGCTGCGAAGCCAGCACAGATCATCTTGTCGGTGATCCCTCCTGGGTGAACAGAGTAGTAAGTGCGTTCGCAGACCTCTCTTCCTAACACGGGCACTTGAATCTACTGTAAGCGACTTGCTAGGCCACTATCTAATTAAGAAATAGATTCAGAAAGAGAGCTTGATAATGAAGTAAGCACCAAGTGATGTTAAAGAAATATATTTAAGTTCAGACTTGCTCTGCACCAATATAATTGCAATCATTTAGTTTTGCCTAAGCTGATGTAGAATACTGAATCAAAAAATACAAGTTTCTTGTGTAGTATAGCTTCATTTCCAGATGTGGCATCTTGGTAAAGGAAATCCAATAGCAGGAGAACAGGAGCAGAAACACTTTTTTTCTAGCTTATTTCTGATTTAAATTTTAGTGTTTCAAATATTGCTACATAAGAATTCAGGAAGAGAAATTCAGCAAGATCTGAATTGTTATTATACATTATTTATATTATTATAAATACGTATAATTATATATTTATACATATAAATATTTTATTCAAATATATATTATAAATATATAATAACAATATGTTTATATGATTTCCTAAAACGAACTAAAATCATTTTCCTCTTTTTTCTCTATTATCACTGAGGCCTAATCTCAACTCCAATTTAAGATGATACTAATGATGAACACGGAAGAATTTCTTCTGCTACCTGACCCTCAGGTAGGCCTATGTTAACATGCATTCTGCATGACTTATTCTGTCACTTCAGATTTATGACTAATTAAAAAAAGATAAATTTAGTATTTTATAGACCTATATCTTTTTGGAAAAATTAAAAATTACTTTACACTTATATTGTACCTTAATATTTATAAAATCCTATACTCCAACCTAATAAGACTCACAATGACATTTTGAGGTGGGTTACCACACTGATCTCACACGTAAAAATGTCAGAGCTCTGAAATTTGACCTCCTAGCACCTATGGGACAGAACTAGGACTGAAGCCTAAGTCAGACTTTAAATCTTGTGCTCTTTTTAATGTATTAATCTAATATATAAATAATTTAATGTATTTAAAATCCTCTTTTCAGGGACCATCCTCATCAGCATTGCTTATTATGTCTCAAAATCAAGAACTCCTTTTCTCTCTGAGATTGAAAGAACGACTTCATCTTTTATAAGACCGTAACCACCTCTCAGTTGTCTGGTGGTCATCGAGCTGGTGAAGGTTGAAGGTGTTAGAGAATGGGCATGTTTATTCAAGGGCTTTGAAGTCAGCCCATCAATAAATATTTACTGAGTGTTTATCCTTGCTAGATAGACTTCTACCCCTGAGGAGAGAGTGGTAAATTAGGCAGAGATCTGCCTCCCAGAGGCTCCCACTCTAATGGGTGAGATGTGGAAAATGATTACATAAAATAATGTCAAGGACATTTAAGTGCAATGAGATGATAAAACTGTGTAGTCCAGAAAGTGATGGAAGGACAGTCCTGCTCCAGCAAAGTGATCTGAGAAGACTTGAGTTGAGAACAGAAAGATGAGGAGGCAGCTGTGAGAAGACTAGAATAAGAGTTTCCATGTGGAAGGAAACAAGGTACAGAGCTTGAGAAAGCAGAACAAGTTTGGTGTCTAAGAGAAAGAAAGAAAACCACAGTGCTGAAGGTCAGCCAACAAGGGGACAAAAGGAGGAAATGAGGTAGGAGAGTTATGTGTAGACCAAACCACACAGAGCTTTCAAAGTCAGGTTAGGATTTCAGACTTTATTATAAACGTAATAAGAAGCCATTGAAGGATTATCAGCTGAGCCATGCTGATTTCAAATCTTAGCTTTGATATTTATTAGCCCTGAGATCTTAGCAAATTACTTAAATTTGGGGCCATAACGTCCTTATTCGCAAAATGGGAGGATAAAATCTCCTCATATGGTGGTTGTGAAGATTTTAGGAAAATGTAATTTGGCTGCAGGCAGCACAGCAAACTGTGAACATAAACACTGTACACAGTCAAAGATAAATTCCCGTCTCCTTCAAGCTCTCAGATTCCAAATAAATGACTCATATACAGAAGGAAAATATCAAATAAAATGATCTTACAAAGTGAAAATAGGCAAAACACAAACATCGACCCAGTCAGATCTTTCAAATCTCATGGCTTTAAGAACTCTATAACCTAGCCCAGGGTTCAGCAAACCCCAGCCAGTGGGCCAATTCCATGCCAACCCCCACCCCCACCCCAAGGCCTATTTAGTACAATCCACGAACTAATAATGGTTTGTACATTTTAAAATGGTTGAAAAGAAAATCCAAAGAAGAAGAATATTTCATGACACAAGAATATTAAATAAAATTTAAACTTCATGAATGAAGTTCTATTGGAACACAGCCACATCCATTCTGTTACATATGGTCTACGGCTGCTTTGTGCTACAAGGGCAGAGTTGAGTAGTTGTGAGAGAGACTATATGGCCTGCAAGGCCTATAAAACTTATTGTCCGGCCCTTTACAGATCTAGCCTACCTATAATTTTTATTTCTCATGATGGAAAAATATAAAGTAGCTCATTCTTTAATTTGATGAACTATTACAGCTAAATAAAATGGTTTTTATATTTCAGAAAGAAGAAGGGCTAAAACAGATACTGCTTGATATCGTTTCCATGACATAGTCTCAGAAATATCAACCGGCAGTAATGTTTGTGCAAAAGTAAAATGTTTACCTTCACTACTGCTTCCCCATCCAGTCACAGCACAGATCTCAGAGGAAAACAGAGGTTCCGTGCTGTGCGGGAGACATACTGGTCTCACCACTGAGTTGAACTCCAGAGGAGAGCTCAGTTGTATTAGGGCGATGTCAGAGTCATAGCTCAGTCTATCAAAGTCTTCATGCACCATGATGTGTTTTGCACATCTCACCTGTATCATTCCCAAGCAAACGAATTACAAGATAAAGTCAGTGAGTCAAACTATTTCCTTGCACAATGGTCCAAAATAATATTAAATCTCTACATTTCCATACAACGGCAATGAAGTTGACTTTGTACTAAATTTAAAAGGGCAATCAATCTCTTTTTATAATTTGCAGAAGGCAAAGGACCACTTTCTGAGGACTGAAATCCCTGGAGAAACTAGACTATGTGGACCTGTGTACATGGACCTGAATTTGTACTTCCTGACCAGCCTTGCCTAATTCTCAGATTAAAATGTGACCTCAAATTGTATCTTTTTGTGTGTGTGTGTGTGAGGAAGTTGGCCCTGAGCTAACATCTGATACCAATCCTCCACTTTTTGCTTGAGGAAGATTGTCACTGAGCTAACACCTGTGCCAATCTTCTATTTTGTATGTGGGATGCCGCCACAGCATGGCTTGATGAACGGTACATAGGTCCACGACCGGGATCCAAACCAGTGAACCACAGGCCACCAAAGTGGAGCACACGAACCTAACCACTACGCCACTGGGCCGGCCCCTCAAACTGTATCTTTAAATGTTGGTATAAATGATAGGGGTAAGGGGACACTAGGAGATTAATACCTAATTACATATTTTAGCTAAAGGTATTCCCTGGCATGTGACAACACTTAAAATACAGGCAGAACGATCTTTAAAAACATTTTTCACCTGTTCAGTTGATTCCTTCAGGGTTCTGTCATGGTCTCCAGCAGCAATGGTCCAGAAGATTGGATTATCCTTCCTGGAGAAAGAAGAACAAAAGTTTGACATGAAAACACATTTTTCACCATTTGGGCTAACCCCATCTGGCCCTACTAATGTGCACTGTTCAGTTCAGCCAGGCGCCACCCACTCCCATGCCTGGTGCCTTTGTGTAATCCCTGTCTGGGAAGCCACACCATACCTCCTGATCTACCTGTGGAGCAGTTCTTAATTACATCTCTTGTCCCCTTCTCTTGGCTATAAAATGTCTTTGGAGCCCTTACCAAATATCAAGAAAGGCTATTTTTAAGTTAAGAAGGTAAAAAAGAAAAATTAGAGCTTATTTTAATTTCACAGTGATATAAGAACACATGAAAACAAATTACATTCATAATGAGGTAGCTTCTGGTCTATGCTTTACTGTTATAAGTATCCAAACACTATATTACAGGAATATATCTCAAATTGTCATCTCTTATCAAATCACTAGGATTGATGAAACTGAGGTTAAAAAGAATTTATCAGTTCAAAAATAGATAAAATTCACCTATGGTGTTAGCAATCAGGGCACTGATTACTTTTGTGGGGGGGTGATAATAAGAAGACACAAGAGGGGAGCTGCTGGGTGCCGGCAATATTTTGTTTCTTGATCTGGGTCCTGGTTACATGGGTGTTCACTTTGTGAAAATTCCTCGAACTGTATACTTAAGATTTGCACACTTTTGATATACTTCAAAAAGACATTTAAAAACTTGAATCAATATCCATTAATTTGCCGTCAAGATCTCCAGCTGAAAAAATATCCGAGGAAAGAGTCCCTCACTTGCCACAAATACACTGTCACTTTAGCTTGAAGATTAATTCTTTCATTTTTCAAAACTGTTTCTTCAAGAAAAGTAAAGTTATTGAAATTATTTTTCAATACACTTTATTCAAAGGAGAAGTTTCTTAATACACGTAGGCATCTTCTCTCTAGTCATAACCATGCTCATTTCAATTCCTTGCACGATAAGTCTGACTCATTCATGAGTTTCAATATGCCTTTATTAAGGGAGCTAACCCAGGTAAAGTGCTTGGCAAGTACCTTACAGATGGTAATGACTCATAATGGTAGCCATTATCATTGTTATTATCTGCCATGCACTCTAATGGAAGGATTCAACTTTATTTTCAAAGTCACCCTCTAAATTATTACTTGATAGTAAAGAAACATTTCTTAAAGCCACTCTACTTCTTTATATAGGGGATAGTGTCCATAATAACAATGAAATAATAAAAATCATGGTAGAGATCATAATGTAGATTACAATTTCTAGTGACGTTTTACGTGCACAGTCATCAAATATCTTTTAATTTAATTTGGTAGAGAACACTGTGAAAAAAGCATATGATAGAGCAACGTTCACTTTGAGGCAACAAAGCCTGAAATTTTTCCAATAGTGGGATAATAGCATGAGGTATCAGTTGATGAACGTCTCCATCCTTTCTTCCCACTTGCCCATAATCAAGTTTTGTTTCTTATGTCTTTAGGGTCTTATCCCCAAGACGACAATGGGATGTGTGTCACTTACTGCTATGAGAGAAGAAAGACTCACTGCTGAATTATGAAAGAAAGTGGCTGGAAGATTCTGATGTATAATTGCAAAATGAGTTTAGTAACTTTAACTTTTCCCTACAAGCATTACTATTATAATAAAAATTTTTAAAGAAATCAGGAAGAGTCACTGATGAAACTGTATATAAATTCTTCTTGTGGTTAACTTAAATGGTTCATAAACATTTACAGCTGACTGTGTTTATTCATCTCAATTGACTCATCAAGTTGAATATTCCACTTTGTGAATAAACATGTTGCTCTGGTCTATATCTTGCTGCAAAGTGTTATGGTCCATTACATAAATTCAAGAATAGACAAGGGAGTCTATCAAAGCTTCTTCTGTGCCTCTGGCATCAATACTACTATTTGTCTTTTCTAAGGCACTAATTTTCACTAAGTAATCAGCTACTATTGAGGCTTCTTTTCCATGGTATATAAAAATGCACTTTGATAGAATTCTTATAAAATGGACTTCTCCAAGGGACGGTGGCTAGACTGAACAATGTGGTACTGGATTGAGTTGGAAATATCCACAGGAACTCATGTTTAGCTTAATATAGATACAAATAGATAAATACGTTTATATAAATGGATTAGTATGCATACCTATATTTTCTAGCTGTCAGCTAAGAGAGCCTGGAAGTAATAACAGCCTAGCAGCAACTAGTATACCCAGCAACCAGATCTTGATTTCTCATACCATTCTCCAATAAAATGAACCAGGGCTCACTGGAGAAACGGCTGATTCTAAGACTGAGAAGGGAATGTATAAGATGAACCTGGAGCATCTTGTAGTGTCACAAAAGGATAGGGGCATGTCAAAAAAACAAGAAGCCACCCTGAAAGCACTTACAATGGTCAAAGCCAGTGTGTGGTAAAAAACAAAAAACCTTCCCCCTTTGCCCCCAAATGCGTAATCATTTTAAATATAGAGTCTAGGAAGATATTTTAAATATTAAATTTGCACAGGAATAGATGAGGACAAAAGATTCTTCTCTGTACTCCCTTCTTCTTATCATAAAGGTTATTTCTTCTTCCCTCCCTGAGTCTATCTGCAAACCCAAACAGAATTCTGGAAGTTTCATGGACCTAAATATAAAACTCCTTCTTCTTCACTGTGGAGTTATATCAAGGGAAGATGAGGCTTTTGAAAAGATACATTTAGTTAAAGAAGAAAGGAGACTAAACAGCTAGTAACCACACGGCCATCAACTTACCATATGGAATAGCTTTTGCAGAAGATACAAGAGTGGTTTTGGGAGGTGATGTTGATGCAATTTTGCTTGAAGAGTCTGTAGAGGAAAAAAAATTGTGTGTGTGTGTGTGGTGTGTGTGTGTGTGTGTGTGACACAGAGAGAGAGAGAGAGAGGAAGATCAGCCCTGAGCTAACATCCAGTGCCAATCCTCCTCTTTTTTGCTGAGGAAGATTGGCCCTGGGCTAACATCCATGCCCATCTTTCTCTGGAAAAAAATTTTTTTTAATCGAAAATATTTAGAGTAGCCTATGCTAGCTAACCTTGCTTGCTTACCCTGGTCAATCACAAAACCAGTCTAATGTTGATCTCACTAATTCTACCTTTCAAATGCTAAATGCCACATCCCAAAGATGTGATTTGTTGTATATCCCTTAATATCTCTGTTGTATCTGACCCCTTTAAGCATTTCTTCCTTCCTTGGCTCCATGAAATTATTCTCTTGATTTTCTTGTTTTATCTACGACGATCTCTTCTCAATCTCAGTCTTTTTTCCAGGATCCTATTCTTCAGCCTGAAAGATACTCCATAAGGTACTGTTCACAATTCTATTTTTATTCATTTACATATATATGACTTCCAAATTTTTCTCTTCAGTCTAAATCCCTTTCCTGAATTCTAGATCTAGGACTGCTAGATATCTTTTTTGGATCTCCCATAAGCTCATAAAAATCCACACATCTCAAATGGAACCAATTGACTTTAAGTATCTACATGGTCTTGTTTTGTTTCTCTGTATCATTTAGTGACTCCACCATTCATCTAGCCACTCAAGCTAGAATCCTGAAAACCATGCTGGAATTTTTCTCCTTCATATACCCCCTTTCTGACAACATATCTAATCAAGCAATATATCTAGAATAAATTCTTCCAATGACTTCCTCACTACTCTCCTGGCATGGAAGTTCACCCCTAATCTCCATCTCCATCTTCCACATTACTACCAAGGTTTGAATTCTGGCTCCAGAATTCTCTGCCAGCTATGCATCTTTGGGAAAGCTACTCAACATCTCTAATCCTCTGTTCCCTCATCTGTGAAAAGGGGAACAGTATACAAATCTCTTAGGTTTATAATGAGAAATAAATGTGATAATACATGTGAAATGCTTAGTCTATACCTGGCACAGAGCAAGTAATCAATAAACGTTAGCTAGCTATCCTATCGATCTGGTCCTTAAAATTTAACGTCCTATGTCCATCACGACCCAACTCTTGCTTTTTTTATCATTCCCTCCAAAACTTGAACAATGTTGAATTATTTGTAGTTTTTTGTACATCATCCATTCTGTTTCACATTAGGGTCTTTGCATATGATATTCCTTTTGTCTGAGTAAAGGCTACTTTATCTTCTAGAATGCCGAGAAACCTAGTAATCCTTCAAAACCCTCATACACCCCAAAATAGAGCCAGTCAAGGTCATTGCTGAATTACATTCCCTAACCTAAACACCTACTTTTCATATAAGGTGCTTGGAATCTTTTCTGATCATTTAGTGGACGCAGTTTCTTGGCATCTCCTGAGGTGCTTGTTAAAGCACAGAGTCCTGGGCCCCACCCCAGAGCCATAGAATCTAAATTTTGGGGGGGCCCAGGAATCTGCATTTTTATTTTGCCATCTAGGCAATTCAAGCACCCTAAATTTAGGTAAACATGGATAAACTACCTTCCCTATAACCGTTTTCATAAGCAAAAATCACTATTGCACAAATGTTCATACTCACCCGAGGGCAAAAAGGCGAATCTAGCCTTGAAGCCTCGGAGTTATTTTCACCATCACTTTTAAAATGAATCAGCATCATGTTACCAGGACTGAATACTGGAAGAGGGCTCAAGATTCCACAAAGTTTGGCTGTAAACATTTTAGGGAAGTTTGATTTATAGTTACAAAAAGACTAAAAATCAGAAAACACAGGTAAAACATCATCCAATTAATTTTTTTCCAGCAACTTTGGTTCTCTTCAACTTTGATTTGTAGGCACACCCTTCCATTTCATGTGAGAATTAAATGCTACTTTCAAGATAACAATGTACTGTAATTTTTTTTTTCTGTTTGTGAGGAAGATCAGCCTTGTGCTCACATCTGCCAATCCTCCTCTTTTTTTTTGCTGAGGAAGACTGACCCCAGGGTAACATCCGTGCCCATCTTCCTCCACTTTATATGGGACGCCGCCACAGCATGGCTTGACAAGTGGCGCGTCGGTGCGCACCCGGGATCCGAACTGGCGAACCCTGGGCCGCCGCAGCAGAGCACACGCACTTAACCACTTGCACCACCGGGCTGGCCCCAATGTACTGTAATTTTATCTTGCAGAAAAACTCTATAGATAGGGTAAGGACATCTGATTCTTAGTATGCATAGAAAGCTCAATTGATTGTTAACTTGTAGACAATGAGAAGAGGTCAAAGAAAATGCCAAACTTGGTATTGCCCCTTCCAAACAACATGGCTACACTTCAAGTGAATAGGTAACACCTGAAATCTGCTTAACCCCACTTTGTACAGGTCTCGTTCTGCCTGATCAAAGGATCCTGTTTCCCCTCACTGTCCTGAATATCCAAATAAACATTCTGAACCTGTGTATACTCCCTGCCTCCAACCCACACTAACACCTAGCTGAGGGGCAAATAGCAGGTGTTCAGGAAGTGGCTACACAGCCAGAAGGGGTCATTTTTTATACTCAGTAAATGGGTAGGTCAAAACTGAAAGTATATTTGAAGTTTTAGTTCAAAAATTAACTTTCAAGATTCATGTAGAAATTATAGCTTTTGGTTACTATTCTTAGACATAAAAATGAAAATACCAGCAATTGAAGGGATTAATACAAGAAAAAAAAAGCAAGTTTAAAATTTTACCTTAAATAACTGCCAAAGATTTACTCAGTGTTACCATTTTCCTTTTTCCTGGGACTTTCTTTTCACCTTCCAAATATTCTGAAACATTCTTCGAATTTGCTTGTTTCTATTAAAAACTTTACTGATGAATCAGTTGCTGACTCATGGGTTTTAAAGCTAAAGTTTTATGGCATCCTGAGTTTCCAGTATAAGAAATTCATATCCCTACTCCACCTTGTGGTACCCAAGGAAGCCAGCCAACACTGCAACTATAGTCATGCACCACATAATGATGTTTCAGTCAAGGACAGACTGCATATACGACGGTGGTCCCATAAGATTAGTACCTTATGTCCTAGGTTTATAGTAGGCTGTACCACCTAGGATTGTGTAAGTACACTCTGATGTTCACACAACAACGAAATGGCCTAACGATGTGTTTCACAGAATGTATCCCCGTCATTAAGTGACACGACTGTACTCTGGTTAGTCTCATGCTTTTCACATTAAGTTTAAAGGACAGACTGTTACTCACCTAACTCATGTTCTTCTTCAGGATCACCATAAATCACAACAGCATCATACATACAGTTTTGGTTAAATTTAGTTGTAAGGTCCTCAAATGCCAACTGCACAAATTATCAACATAACCAGAGAAGTGGTCAAGGAAGAGAAGAGATATACTTTAAAAGTTTTCCTCTGTACATTAAAAGGCTCTCAGCCACACCGTCATATTCTGTTGATAGAAGTATAAATAATTGCAGCTTCTTTGGAGAACAATTTGGCAATGACAACCAGGTTTAAATGCACAAACCTTTTGACTCAGCAAGTCTACTTCTGGAAATTATATACATCCATATGTGTCCAAAAACAGTGACAGAGGCATGTACCAGTATTGCTGGTATGTGCAAAGACCGGAAACTCGCTAAAAGTCTGTTAACAGGGAACTGGTTCAAGAAATTATGGAACATCACACAATATAATTTTATGATGTTGTTAAAAAGAAGCTCTGTGGGCTCATTTGGAAAGATCCTTGAGATTTTTAAATAGAAAAAGCACTGCCAAGCAATATAAATAAATACATGTTTGTAAATGCTCAGAATCTCTCTCTAGGGATACCTTGGAAACTTATTAATGTTGGCCTTTAGGAGGTAGGATGGGAGTTGGATGAGAAAAAGGCTTACTTCTCATTGAATTCTCTTTTAAACTGCTGAAACTTTTTAAACTACATACAAGCATCCCCTTTTAGAGAAAATAAAAAGGCAAATAAAAGCTCCTAGTCATAATGGCAATTTAACAGTCCAGATGAAGCAAGTTCTCTCTTACTAACATAGCTAAGTTCTCCATGAAGTAAAGAGCTTCCTTAGTTGCTTACCGTTATAACGTGATTCTCTGGAGCACGAATGAACCAGCGACACCTTCCATTCCTGGGATACAAGTCAGGAGAATCGGCAGAGTGAATTGCCCCTTCTTCCACCAACACATCCACACTCCCGCAACCTGAACCTGTGGAAGTGTTGGGAAAATCCAAAGCGAATGGCCAAAGGCATTCCCTCTTCCTCACCCATATATCAAAGAAAAACAGATGGGAATTAAACATCTGAAATTCATACCAGCTTCTGAGTTCTTCCGTACAGCAGTAAAGATGAGCTCAAAGCCACTGCCGTTGTTTTCTGCATCAGAAACAAATGTAACTGTGGCCTCACTGGTCTCTGTCAGCAACGGTGAGGGCAGTATGTCTCCACAGACCTTACCTTAAAAGCAAAAGAAATTGAAATAAGATTACTAAAAAATGGCGGCAACAAACTTATACACATTTGTTTTCCTAATATTATCTTCCATGAACGCTCTGTTCTAAACACATCAGACCATTTAGTCGCCCCTTTATTCATTCCACACTCTCTGCTTCAATGAGTGTATATTCCATTCATTTTCTCATGTCTAACCTCACATATCCAAATTGTACTCATCCTTCAGGCCTAACTCAAAGTCCAGCTCTCCAAGAACCTTCCCAGACACCCAGTGGAAATAAGACCCACTTCTTCTGAATCACCACAGCACATTTCCTATTCTATGTCACTTCCTACTTTGTGGTGCACCTTTAGTTACCTGACCAAACTGCTCATTAAAGCAGAAACTGCTTTTATTCTATATACATCCAATACCTGGTATGATATCTGGTAAATGGTTTATTTTTAACAAATGATTGGTTAAAAAATGATTACTGGATAAATACCAGGCCTGAAGCATGAAATCATTTAGTCAATAAATATTATAACCTTAGCACAATATCTTGTTTATAGCATCCTATCAAATATTTGTGAAGAGATATTTGTCCTAACCACTGACCTTATGGAGACCTAGAGACCAAGGTCTATACCAGCTCTAGAGACTCTCTATCATGCTTCACACATAATATTTCAATTAAAGTAAATATATCAGTTATGCTTGTATAGCTTATAAGGTATTCAATAAAATAAATGACATGAAATAATCTATTGTCAAAAGAAGAAAGAACATATTAAAACTGACATGAAATAATCTATTGTCAAAAGAAGAAAGAACATATTAAAACAATGTAAAGTTCAGCATGTTCATCTAATATATATAAATGAATATACATGAAAATGTTAACAGTGTTTATCTCTGGATGGTAGGATTATGAATGGTTTACATTTTCTTCCATTTGCTCATTTGTTTTTACAAAATTTTGCAAACATGCACCTGCTTTTGTTATAAAAATGAAAAAATAGACATGGACTTGAAAGGAAGTTTCTGACAACTGAGATCAATTTCATTCAATTCTGTTACTAAACTAGAGAAAGGAATAGAGAAAGTTCAGTCAATACGCTGGTCATTGGTTCCACTCTTAGCACACACACTCCCGCCCCTGCAAGAAGGGCACAGTTTGTAAGATAAAATAATTGCCCTGTGTGCAGAAATCTAATTTCAGATCTTTTAGCTCCTCTGTGGTCATTTCGATACTCCAAAATGACAAATGAAAATAAATGTAACATACTTACTAATAAGCATTCCACTGCTTGATTGTAAAGATACATAGTCATGGTCACATCCAACCTGATTTTCTACGTCTAAGCTTGTAAATTTTATCAGGATAATTTTATCTTCTGGTACCATTATTTTCCAGATACATAAGCTGGGCAGGAGAAGGTAGAGACAGTATAATAAACGGCAGAGTCAAGTGTGACAAAAGATCTAATATCTGGGCTTTAGCTCATAACTCACCAATTATAAAATTTTTACAAGATATTAGAAGATAAAACATAATGGAAATTCCTTATGTGAGAATAATCTGTTTATGCTCGAATTGCTGGCATTTATTCAACAAATAGAGGAGTATTAATTAGAGAATAGCCAGAAACCACCCTTTACATTTCTTTTAGTTATAAAATGCTAGAATATTGATCTACAAATTGAAGAAACCTAAGATTAATCTCTCTGTTCTAAGTTATTAGTCTAAGTGAAACTTCATGGGGCCGGCCTGGTGGCGTAGAGGTTAAGTGTGGGCACTCCGCTTCGGCAGCCCAGGGTTCACAAGTTCAGATCCCAGGTGCGGACCGATGCACCGCTTGTCAAGCCATGCTGTGGCGGTGTCCCATATAAAGTAGAGGAAGATGGGAATGGATGTTAGCCCAGGGCCAATCTTTCTCAGCAAAAAGAGAAGGATTGGCATCGGATGCTGGCTCAGGGCTGATCTTCCTCACAAAAAAAAAAAAAAAGAAAATTCATAATATTCACCCAGAAGTTTAATTATGAATTATGGATTGACCACATAGTATATGTTAACCTAACCAGCCACATCCTCCAAGGTGAGCCTAAGTCATAGTCCCTGGGGTTGCAATATCATCTCTCTAACTCTCGGCAAGATCAGCTGTGACCTTTTACTAACATCTTTAGAAACATGTCTAAACATTTTGAAAGTAGTCTTACATAATTTAACACACAATCCTTTATCTTTATTTTCCTACATGAGTTCATATATTATTCAAGAAAAGAAACCCCAATGGGCCATAAATCCTTAGCATCCTCCATGAGTCACATTCATCTGAGTTCAAAGCAATCTTATCTGGAATCTAACATGTTGGAATGAACTTCTTTCTAAAACTCGGTATTCTTTATCAACAACCTTAGACCTGTTAACAGCCCCGCTGCCCTCTAAGTAATACATGTTCAGGACTGTAGGAGTTATCCAACTCTTTTATATCCAGTTTCCAAAAACCAAATGCAATAATTCTTACCAAACATCTCCTCCTTACCCAGAAAATCCTTGATTTACTCTTTTTCTATTCAAGCCCATCATCCTGAACATAGATGTAAAAATAGGCTGCCTAAAATATTATTAAAATCACTTTTTAAGCACTTCAATTTAAAAAGCAATAAGCTGCCTAAAATATTATAAAGCTCACTTTTTTAAAGCACTTCAATTGAAAAAGCACTCCACATTTATCATCCTTCTTGAGACTCATTACACCCCTCTGAAGTAGACAGGAGAGAAATTACTCTCCTTTCTCCAAATGGGAAAACTCGGCATTGACATTAAAAGACTCATCACATCTCATATAATAGGAAATATAGTTTAGGCTTTATGACTTCAAAGGCCAGTATTTTCTACTGATTTCATGAAATTATTTTCTGCCTTAAAATCTCTAACTCTGAGATGGAAAATAGATTTAAAATCATATGCCAACCTTGATTTATTGTTAGCAATTGCTGCATTAAAAAGGATTCTGACATCCAGTCAAGCGAAGTGAATGAGGAGTACCAAAATTAATCACTGATTTATTCATTCAAATATCTATTGAGCATTTATGATATGCCAGGCACTGTTCTAGGCTCTAAGAAATGCAATGTCTCCCACGGGCATGGAAGGAAGGAGATCACCTGAGTGCCATGTATCTGCCATTTCTGAGAGTCTAGCTACCATCTACCATATAAAGATAGGCTTGGAGGGACTGTATAACTCCCTGCTCCTTCTCCACATTATCTCTTTCTCCCTTACCATTAGCTAATTAACTCCATTTGGCATTTACAAGACCCTTCCATAATTCAAGGCTGCTTAGTACGCTGGAGAAGTCACTAGGTATGAGAATTGGCTCCATACCTTATTAACATTTCTAAAACATGTCTTTTCACATTTGAACATTCTAAAATCAGAAGGACCTCACAATGGAGTCTTACAATTCTGTTAGACCCGGATTGAAAGAGTTCTTCCAGAAAGGACTTGTATTCACTTTGGCCAGTCACCTGGGGGCACTCTCAGCTGCACGCTACTTAATTTTTCTGCTTGAAGAGTTTTGGACTTCACTGGTAGTAGGAATTTTAGACTGTAGACCTGCATGATTCGAATTCTCAGGGAGGATTTCTATCCCTCCCTACATTCAGTGCCAAGGTTGAGGCATGTAATTTTCCACATGGGTGGGCTTACGCATTGTTTAGTCTTACACTGAAGGTATAGCCTTTGGTGTCCCAGCTTTATATGGAGATCTCCCAATTTGGGTATTTTGTTTTCTTTATTGGTGGTACATAAAATAATGATGGATTTTACAACCAGTTTGTTTTAGACTTGTTGAAATATAGTACAAATTCATGCTAATACTGAGTTGCAATGTTGCTGGAAGTCTTCTTCTTCTCTCTAGTTGACTTCTTACTTTAGTCCCTACAAGCTATTTGATATCTTCTTAACTATTTAATCTCAACTTCATCCCCTCAACTTGAAGCAATTGAAAACTTTTAATTACCAGAACAGCATCTAGTGTAAATTCCTTCAACTTTCCCACAGATTACCTTAACATTTTTGGTTGCTTTTCCAGAAAAGAAATTATTCTTCCTTCTTTCCAAAGCTCAATCTTCTTTATTTGGTGTGCTCTTATGAAACTTGCTTCACATATACACGTATTTCTTTCAACTTATCACTCTTACTCTCTTCTGCCCATAAAGACAGTTAAGCCTACCCTTCCAAACAACAACAAAGCCCTCCTTCTCTTGACCCTGCTGCCCTATTACCCAAAAGCCACTGTCTAATCTTCCTCCTTCTCTTCACTGTTTAATTGTCTTCCTTGTCTCAAACAATGGCAGCTCCATCCTTCCCATAGGTCAAAAAAATCTCAAGTCAGTCATAAGGCTCCCTCCTCTTAAAACCCAAATTTTCAACTCATTAGCAAATCCTGTGGCTCTACCACTTCTCACCACCTCTACTCTTACAAACCCGCTCAAAGCCATCATCCTTACCTGGATTATTGCAGTAGCTGGTCTCTCAGCTCTTCGTCTTGCCTGTCTACAATCTATTTTCAAAACCACAGCCAAAATGATCGTTTTAAAGTGTCAGATCATGTTCCTCCTCTGCTCAAAGTCCTCCAGTGACTCCACATCTTACTCACAATAAAATCCAAAGTCTTTCTTATGTCCTTTAAGTTGGGCAACCACTAATCGCGACCACATCCCTCCACTCTCACTTAGCTCTAGCTCTCTGATCTTGCTGTTCCTCAAATATACCAAGAGTTTTCCTGTCTTACACATGCTATTCCTTTTGCCAGACTGTCTCTTCCCATGATGACCATCTGATTCTCTCCCTCAACTTACTCAAGTCTTTGTTCAAATACCATCTTTATAGTGCAGTCTTCCCTGACCACCCTCTCTAATATTGCACAACCCAGCACTCTCTACCTCTCTTTCTTGCTTTATTTTTCTCCATAGAACTTACCACTTTCTACTATTATACTTACCATTATTTGTATTATTCCCACTCTCCACCTTCCAACTTCCAACTTGCCCCACAAAGGAGAGCATTTTTGTCCTTTTCATTCACTGCTGTATTATGAGCACTTAAAATAGTGCCCGACACGTCGTAAGGCCTCAATAAATTTTTTTGGACTATTTGGTGAAGGAGAGATACCAAGTCTTCAACAATCACTTAACCCATTAAGAATATAACGTTTGATCCTACAATTCCACCGAATCATCTCCCAAATTTTGAATTGCCATATCCATTGGCATTTTATGTGAACTCATTTTGACTCTTGCAATATCTGATACTACTAACAACCCCCTTTGTCTTGAAAGTCTTTCTTGCAGAGATCTCTTCAATACTTCATTGTCTAAGTTGACTCACGTGTTCTCTGTGTTTGACAATAAATTGGCTGTCATCTGCATAAGTCTCTTACTCAATACATAAATGCTTTCTGGAATCTCACCTATAGCTATCCATGCTCTGCTCAAATACCCACTAATGAAGGAAATTCATTATCTTTTGAGGCAGGGCACTAAGTCTCAGAAATCTCTCAAATTAGAAACTACTTTATATTGGATTGAACACTGCCTGCTTCTAACATCTACCCTCTGCTCCTTATTCTCAGCTTTGCAATTAATTCTGCTTCTCTAGTAGCCTTTCAGACAAACCAAGACAGTTCCTTTCTCCTCTCGAGTCTTCTTTGGACCGAAAATATTCCTAGGTCCTTCCACTGTATCTCCCAAGACACTGTTTTGAATTTCTTTCCATCTTGGTTATTGTCCATCAGGTAATTTCCAGGTTAGCAATGTCCCTCTCTAAAGACTGTACCTAGAGAATTCCTCCCTACTCTCTCCACGCAGGACCCTAATAAAACAGGACTCTCACTCTTGTTCTGGTTGCTATTATTCTCGAAGTTTAAGCAAAGATGGCAAAGGCTTTATTGGTATTATATTAAAGCTAGGTTGACTCACAGAAAGTCAACGTAGACTCAAGCCTTTTAAACATGGGCCGCAATTAAGCCAGATCATTTCCATCCTATACTTGTAACAAATATTTATATTCATTTTACATTAATTTTATAAATTACAATCTCACCACCATTTTAGCTTTCCATTGCCTATGGTATAAAGTCTAAGCTTCTTCACATAGAATTCAAGATTCTCTACAACTAAGGCCTTACCATCCTTTTTATCTTTTTTGTCCACTGCTACCCTAGTTCCTATTTATATTAACATTGCTCTCCAGCTGCACTGGGATACACATTGTCCAAACACCCCTGATATTCTCCACCTCCATGACACTGCCTACAGACAATTCTCTCTGCCTGGAATGATCTGTAGAAATCTCCCAGATATTACAGCTACAAAAGACTTCATGAGCTACAAAATCATAACTACTCTTCAATGCCTAGTTTCAATACCACCCCCTTTACTAAAGCATTCCTACTCCCCACCCCTCCCAACCACAGTACACACATACCTCACAAATCACTGCAGTGGGAATTAGTTTTTCCATTTTCCATAGTACCAACACACCTGGGTAGTGTGAATTATAAAGCTTATTTCATCTGCTTTTATAGTATAGCTGTTTTTGTCCAGCTCTCTTCTCCTATAAACTTGTTATGATTATAAACTCATAGAACAGTCATTTACCTTTGAATACCTTTCAGTGCTCAATACAATTTTAAAAATGAAAGTAGAAGACTTAAGGAAATGAGATACTTGCAAAACTAATTTCTGAAGCTTAAAGATATCTTTAGCCATATAGAAGGCAAGGTATATAAACAAAAATGTCTAAAGATACTGAAGCTTATAAATAGTAAACTATTTTCCACCTTCTAGGCAACAGTTAACAAAATATTACCATTATTAAGAAAATAAGTGGGACAGGATAAACCACTAAATTCCCATAACAACCTCACTACCAGATGCTGTTAATGTTAGATATTCAAATACATCAATTCAGGTAAGCTCTAGTCTCAATACCACTTGTGTTGATGATGTGTATTAATGCATATCAGAAATACCAATTAGCAAATATTTGCCAAATAAAAAATATCAGGTGAAACATATAGACTTTTATGTTAGTCAGATAAAGTAATTAGATACTAAATAAAATTGCCAAAACATAGCCCCTTAAATGGCCTGATATGGAGTGGTGGGGGGAACCCCAGGAATCCTTCCTACCGGGGATACATACCGATTATGAGACTAGTTGCCCTCTTTCAAATGGGGGTAATGAATCTTCCCATTTTCTCCAAATAACACTGTTCCCTGAGGTCTACAATCTTCCAAAACATAGAAAAAAGACTGATTATTTACCTCAGCTATGGAAAACATTTCAAGACATATGGTAGAGAGTCAGCTTGATGCTGTACAATTTATACTGTGTAATTTATATTTATGGGAATGCATATATTTTTAGGTGCTATGACCTAGACACTGTATTTGCAGACTTCATTAGGAAAATTTCTAAATCATAATGTTTTCTTTTTTTTAATGTAATAGTTTTATTAATTAACCATTTGACATACTTCTGCAATTCTTTTCCCCTACATTTTTTATTGAGGTATAATTGACATATAACATTATATTAGTTTCAGGTGTACAACATAATGATTTGATATTCGTATATATTGCAAAAGGATTACCACAATAAGTCTAGTTAACATCCATCACCACAGAGTTACATATTTTTTTTCCTTGTGATGAACTTTTAAGAGATCCTCTCTTAGCAACTTTCAAATATGCAATACAGCATTATTAACTATAGTTACCATGCTGTAAATTACATCCTCATGACTTATTTATTTTATAACTGGAGGTTTGTATCTTTGGACACCCTTCGCCCGTTTCCCCCTCCCCCAACCCACCTCTGGCAACCACCAATCTGTTCTCTGTATCTATGAGCTTGGTTTTTTGTTGTTGTTGTTAACTCCATATATAAGTGAGATCACGTAGTATTTGTCTTTGTCTTATTTCATTCAGCATAATGCTCTCAAGGTTCATCCACGTTGTCGCAAATGGCAAGATTTCTTTCTTTTTTATGGCTGAGTAGTATTCATAATGTTCTTTTGTTTATCTGAGTTCTTCAGATTTAACATTTATCCAATTTTCTCAAATCATGAGTCACACTGAAGCTGTCAAATTTATAGTATGGAACTAATATGGTGTTTTCCCATCTCTAACTAGGATGTCCTGGGTTATAATAAAACAGCTTTGTATAAAGATACTAAAGTAAAAGTACACAAATTTTAGCAATGACATGGCAAGTCTCTATCATTCACTCAGAAATTTCAGACACCAGTATCACATTTTAATTGTTGGATGCTAGAAGAAATAAGTAACTAGAGGATGAGAAGCTTAGAAAGATGATCTTAAAGAAGTGTTATTTAAATAAATTACTTGTCACATTCTGATATTCATTTGACTGTGGAATTAGAGATTATTGCCTGATTTTATTGCCCTTTTAAAATATTGTTATCATTAACCTTTGTTCATGGCTTGTTAACCCTTTAACCTTCTCTTCCAGGTGATGAAAATTCAATAGAATGGACACCAGGCGAGAATTTCCCCCTGCAGTAATGGCAACAAACTGAAAACTTTTACTCTGAAGACCAAATGAAAGCAAGCTGAGAGCCTGCTCTAGTCAGAGGTAGCACTGGTGTTCAGCTGGACCAACATCAGTAATGCTTCTCAAATCACGAGCTAGGTGGCTGATCTTCGACTACAATGAAGGAGGGATGGACAGAACACTATGTTCTGTTGCTCCGGGTCCTGGCCTCTAAAAAATTGGTTCTTTGGGGCCGGTCCGGTGGCGTAGTGGTTAAGTCTGTGTGCTCCGCTTCGGCAGCCCAGGGTCCACAGGTTCAGATCCTGGGCACAGACCTACACACCACTTGTCAAGCCATGCTGTGGTGGTGCCCCATATAAAGTAGAGGAAGATGGGCAAGGATGTTAACCCTGGGCCAATCTTCCTCAGCAAAAAGAGGAGGATTGGCAACAGATGTTAGCTCACAGCTAATCTTCGTCACACACACACACACACAATTGGTTCTTTTACTAAACTACTTGTTCCCGTGAGTTGTGTACGCTTATGCCTCTTTATTCTGCAGAGGCTGCCCCCCTGTACCATTTTCTTGTGCACACGCTGCCCCTTGGCATGGTAAGCCTTCTGGTCCCTCAGAACTGAGCCCCTCAGTGCTCTTACAGCTCTCTGGCTTACCTGCACTGTATCTTTTATCACAACTATTTACTTCTCTGTCTCCCCAAGTAATTGGAAAGATCCTTGATGGCAGGTTTGGCATCTCCACACCCATATTTACCCAATCTAGATTTTAGTGCCACAGAACAAAAATAACTCTTCAAAGTCCCCCTTATTTTCCTACTGTTGCCAAGTAAAATTATCAAAGATTAATGGAAAAAGAGGAAGAGAGATGATTTATTCTTTGTGCTTTCAAGCAGTTTAAAGAAAAAAAAAATATGTCAACTGGATAAATGAAGAAGGAATCCTGTGATGATTCAATTCTCAAAGGCTATTTTCAAATTTCATAAATCCAAAAAATAATCTCAGAAAATCTACACGAACATAAACTTGAAGATCCAACTGGTGTTCAAGTTAAATTGACAGATATCAGTGCTCATGAATTCAGAGACAGAAGCTTATATACATTGGATTAGGAATTGAAATCCAGCCATTCTTGCTTTAAAACGTAGTTCTGATTATATCTGTAACATATCAGAGAAACTATTCTTTAAATAAGCATGAGCAATTTTTGATTTGGAATGAAATGAGGAAGGAAGAATTCACAGAAATTACACCCACCTGTGAATATGTTCTGAGTGATAAAATCCATCAACGCAAACACTTTGGAGAAAATGCCAGCTGATGCTCTTCTATGGTTATTTCTTAAAGGAGCCCAATCGGTAGCACAACCAACTCCCCAGGACGTTATCCCAACAAGGACCCAGATTCCATTGTCTCTTCTACAAACAAGTGGACCTCCAGAGTCCCTCTTTTATAGCAGAGAAAGGGAGAAAATTTGTAAATATTCACAGGTTAAAAATATTCTAGCAGGTCCACACATATCAGCATTCATCTCAAAGAGAGATTAGAGGCATATAAGCCCACTGGTCATTGTTCATCAATAATTTTTTTGTTTCTTCACCACTAGTTTCAAGGTGCAGTCTTTTTGCCCAGATGTAACTTCCTTCCAACTATTGCTTGCAATCTTGTCAAGCTAACATTTAATCTCTCTCTTCCTCCTACCTTTTTGGGAACAATCATATACATTCCAAAATCAGCAGGAGGAGGGGAAATTTCCAGATATATGCTTCCACTACACCTGGTCACCTGCAATTGCTGGGAAAGACTAGGTCATATCCCAAGTCTACAGCATCAGTGAATAGAGTCCCCAAGGTCAATCAATGGCTCAAGGCTTTGAAAACAGAACACTTGGGAAGCCTAATTTTGTCCCAGGGGCTATATGTAAAGGACTGTTGGCTCTCAGACTAAAGGATAAGGAACCCACAATTCCAGGGTCCTTTCTTTAATAATCCTTCAGAATAATAAGCTGCTTTGAGAACACGTGTCAATTTTGTGTTGGATTAAACCCTGCTCAAAAGGCATAAAATTCTTTGAAGGCTTCATCTGAAAAAGGATTGCCTGAAAAGGATGCAGACAAGACAAAGCACCTTTGTGTTTCAATTTAGAAAGTGGCATAATTATAAATTTCTATCTCCCCCCTCCCAAACTCCTCCTGGTCTTGATACCCTCTAGGAGAAAAAAATCAAAAAATTTTTCCAATAGATAATTTCAGGGAGCTTCCCACAGCAGTTTCAAGCTACTTGGCTTTCCAAGTAAATTATCTTCTCTATTTAAAACTTAAAATGGGTCTGGCCTCGTGGCTTAGCGGTTAAGTGCGCGCGCTCCACTACTGACGGCCCCGGGTTCGCATCCCGGGCGCGCACTGATGCACCGCTTCTCCGGCCATGCTGAGGCTGCGTCCCACATACAGCAACTAGAAGGATGTGCAACCATGACATACAACTATCTACTGGGGTTTTGGGGGAAAAAAAGGAGGAGGATTGGCAATAGATGTTAGCTCTGAGCCGGTCTTCCTCAGCAAAAAGAGGAGGATTAGCATGGATGTTAGCTCAGGGCTGATTTTCCTCACAAAAAATAAATAAATAAATAAATAAATAAACAAATATTAAAAAAAAAACTTAAAATGCATGTCTTGGGCAAATTGGTCTCCCTTTCCTCTCTACATCTTGTAAAGGTTAGTCTTCTTTGTGAAGTTGTGTCAGCCTTGGGAGATCATTGCCATTCACAACATCTTTTACCCAACAGTTACTATAGGTACGCAATCTTTGGTCAAACTCTGTGTAAACATTGAATTTTGCACTAAAGGCTAAAAAAAAAAAAATTTTACAATGTTTAACAAAAGGTATAATAAAAAATAATTCACAGCTGGACCTAATCAGCTTGCCAAAGTGGTCACCTTGCTTCATTCCATTAGGTTGGAGATGTTGCAATTTTCCTTCCCTCCTCTCCTCCCAAAAAAGAGGTGTGGGGTTAAGAATGGGCATGGGACAGGAAAGAATTCTCTCAGCCCAGGTCAAGTAAACTTTTTCAGTGGAAGCCAGGTGGAAAGAAAGGGAAAGGGGAATTTTGAAGAAGTAACTCCCCAAAAGCAGCTCACGGAGAAAGGCAGAATCCACTATCATCCACATGTTACTGAATAACAGCTGGTTTATGCTTTTTACCTGGCAGGCGTTCTTTTCCCCATCAGGAAAACTGGCACAAAGTGTGGTCCTTCCCAAGGGAAGAAGGGTCATACTCTTGAGCACAGTATTACATGCTCTGTCATCCATGATAGGAAGTTCCACTGCTTGCAGGACATTTGAATATTCTGATGCTGTGGAGAAGAGACTAATAAGTTAGTCAACAATTGTCCTTATTGAAACAAATCAATAAGAAGCCTACAAGTTTAAAACTATTTAAAACAGATGTTTAACCAAAAATGTAGAAGTCATTTTTTCTAGTTGTAAATTATATTCTTTCCTAAAACCATATATGCGATAAATGACATTTTTAAAAAATTCAGCCCATTTTTTTTTTTAGGTAACATAGGCAATTGTGTCTTCTCTGAATATGTGCTTGAATGTTTCCCTAAGAGGAAAACTTTAATCAATAAAGCAATATTTTGTAAAATTCTTTACTTTTCTAAAAATCACAATATTAAAGATAAGAAAGCTTAACTATTGTTACTACTTCCTGATTATCCCTTTACTGTAGTCTTCTTCATCCATTATAGTTACCTCCAGGTTCCTTTATCTGACACACCTAACCAAAATGGTGGCATGAGGAGTTTTATGTAAAACCTTAAGTATAGACTTTTCTATGGTGAAGACAACCAGAAATCTTCACTGGGTCAGAACTTAGGGGAAAAAAAAAAAATCCAGGATAAATGTATTGCTCATGGCCAACAAAATTCCTGCTTCCACTGGGCATACAAAGGGGCCTGGAAAAAATATTATTATAATTCTTTTGATGCCTCTTACTCTCTGAAGTCTTGCCCCATCCACTGGCCATGCAAATAATCCATTCTTCAAATTTATCATCTCTATGGGGAATACAGATCGGCTGAATAGCAATTCCTGAAAAAATAAATAAACAAATAACAAAAAATCACAAAGTTCACAGACAAGTAATCCTAAATATATTTGGAAAGTGACATCCAGTTGACTTCATGGCTTCTACACTTTCTTCCTAAATGTAATGTTGACATATATTTTCAAAGGTTTCCTCTCTCATAAAAAACTATTTCATATTTATAGAAATTTAGAAAAAAATGCAAGAAAAGTAAAATAAGGAAAAAAATTAACCCATTGTCATACATACCACTATGACTCCCCCAAAATACTAACATTTTAGGGTGTGCCCTTGCTCTTAAGGGACAGTTTTTCATTCAATAGTAATTGAGCACTACTGTGTAGCAAGCACTCTTCTAGACCTCAGTGAAAAATAAAAAAAGATCCCTGCCCTGGCAGAACTTACACTTGTGTTTGTGGGAGAAAGGGAATACAAACAATAAATATGATAACTTAGTTGTTAGGTAATATGTGCTCTGGAAAAATCAGAGCAGGGTAAAGAAGATGAGAAGTCTGGGGATTAGGGAGGATACATAGGAGATGTAATTTTAAATATGGTAGACATGACAAGTCTCATTGAGCAGGTGACATTTGAGCAAAGCCTTGAAGAAGCTGAGGGAAGGAACCATGCAGTTATCTGGGTGGGAAGCAACTGAAGAAGAAACAGAATGGAAAGTCCCTGCAGTGGAATCATGTTATATATGTTTGAGGAACAGTGGGGAGGCCAGGATGCCTGGAGCAGATTAAACAAAAGAAAGTTTAGTAACAAATGAATAAAAAAGAGGTTAGATGTATGGCTAGGAGGAGGGAGAAGTCAGATGACAAGAACACTGGTTCCCATCTGAGTGTAAGGGAGAACCATTGAAGTGTTTTGAACACAGTGACAATCTAACTTACATTTCAAAAAGTATTATTCTGGCTGCTGAGTTAATAATAAACATTAGGGATGAGAAAGTGGAAGCTGGAGACAATTTAAGAAACCATTAAAATTAACCCAGGCAAGAAATGATGGTAGCCTGGAACAGGATGGTAAGAGTAGAGAGGGTGAGGCAGAAGCAATAGGATTTTTCTGATGTATTAGATGTATAGTGTGAGAGAAAGAAGAATGAAGAATGAGTGCAGAATTTTTAGCTTGAACAACTGGAAGAGTAGAGTTGTCATTAATCAAGACGGAAGACCATGGGTAGAGCAGATTTAGGATGTCAGGGATAATCAGGATTTTGCTTTAAACATAGTAAGTTTGAGATGCCTATTAGCCATCCATGTAGATGACCATTAGGCAGTTGGCTATATGTCCCCTATTAATCCCAGCGGCATATATAATACAAAGAAACCTGGGCTAGATATATAACATTTGGGGTACTCTTCAAGGAGATAGTGTTTAAAGCCTTGATCCTGGACGAAATCACTAAGGGAGTGAGTACAGATAGAGAAGAGGTCCAAGCCCTGTCCTGGGGCATCGGAACAATAAGAAGTCACAAAGAACAGGAGGAATCATCATAGAAGACTAAGAAAGGGTATAAAAAGGGGTAAGAGGGAAACCAAGGGACGCCTGGAAATCAAGCGAAGAAAATGTTTCCAGGAGAATATGCACAACTCTGTTAAAACTCCTATCAAATAGGCTGAGGATTGAGAATTCACCTCTGAATTTAGCAACATGGAGGTCACAGGCGACTGTGACAAGAGCAAATTTGGTAGAGTGGGGGGTGAAAGTCTGATTGACTTGGATGTCCAATAGACATCTCAGACCTAAAACATGCAATTATGAGAACTGAGGAGAGGAAATTGACATACCTAACATAGATGGATCTTCATAGAGTTTTTCTAAAAAGGGGAGCAGAAAAACATCAATAGTTTCCTTTGATATACAAATCTAGTTTGAGTTATTCTCAGTATTTTGATAATCTTATTCTATTGTCTTCTGATTTTCATTACTGCTGTTGAAAAATTAGCTGTAAGTTCTAATTGTTATCACATTCTCGGTAATATAATTTTTTCCTCTAGGTGCTTTTGAGATCCACTCTTGTTTTTAGCATGCTCTAGTTTCAGGACAACATATCTAGATATAAAATTATTTTTAATATCATAGTTTGGAATTACTGGGCTTCTTAAATCTGAAGATTTGTGTCTCATCAGTTATAATTAACCCTCAGCCACTTTCTTTTAAATTATAGCCTCTCTCTCCCATTATCTATATTCTTTCTAAAGCTCAAACTGGATGTTCATTACCCTCTTTCAGTCTATCATCTCTGACTTACTCTTTATCTCTTTTAGATAACTATTTCAGATCTTCTAGTTTCCCATACCTGATCTAATCTGCTATTTAATTCATCTATTGCATATCTAATTCCAATTATGTTCATATCTTTGTGTTTTATTGGCTCCTTTTAAAATCTTCCTCTTCAGTTAATAGTTTCTTGTTCTTTAGTCATTTTTGATAGACTTTTACTTATTTAAACTTAGTAAAACATACTTTATATTATGTCTCATCTTAACACCTGTAATCTTAGGAGATCTGATTCTGGTTGTTGTCATGTCTGATTCTCTCTCTTTGGTGACAATTTTTGCTGCATAATTTTAATTTAATTGTATGCTCATATTAATTAAAACTTTATGGGAATACAGTGAAGCTGTGATTTAAGGTTCGTCTCTTCAATTTGCTTCTGCCAGGAGCCCCAATTACTCACCTGGAAACACTTTAAAGTCTTGGCTTGGAGTTTTTGGTCACAGGTAATGTGAATTTCAGGATCACACATGAGCAAGGGCTTGCTCATATTCTTCTGAGAACCCTCCATCCCAGAGCTAAACTTCAAGCAGGTAAGTTTCCTTATTCCCTCACTTTATGTGGCATTTTTCCCTCTCTCTTTTCCCCTATCTTTCAAAGTATCACCTTTCAGGAAGTCCCAGAGTACATGAGAGGCTCCAATCAGAGTGTTCCATTGCTCACCCCTACTCCCATGCAGTCTCCTTGCATGGCCAGTTAAAGTTCTAGGTTTTCAAAGATCAATTAGATGCCTCAAGGGCAGTCCCTTACCTCAGTGTCTGGCTAACTCCTTTGGATTTGTGCTCTTTCAGTGGTTTTGGCCACTGAACACTTCCTTTTCTTGCATTTTTTAAAAAAACAAGTTTTAATATTTTATCCAGAACGTTTAGATTACCTGTGCTGAGCGAGTGTCAGATATCTAGTTCACAATAATGACAGAAAGGAGAAGTCTCTGAGAACATTTTCAAATGTCCCAAACTCCTTGGCTAAAGCTGAGTATAAGTAGATAGATGGTATAGAATATAGCCTAGCCAAGACACAGGAGTACTTATAATGCTGATTAAGTTAAGCATACATAATTTTTGTATGATTTGTGGGACTTATAGCCTGTACAGTGCTTTTTATGTTATAGATTAAACAAAATTATTTTTAAAATGAACAAAACTTAGCTATTCTAATATTGCTAGATAGATATACAGAAATTAAACTGGTACAGAATTAATAAACACAGTTTTCTCCATTTTTTGTATTCTAACTTTCCCTACTTACCAAACTTGACTTTGTGTTTTAGATACAGCAGGGCAATATCAGAACTCATATAGCCAAGTCTGTTGTATTCAGGATGGATAGTAATTTTTGAGACAGGAATATTCTGCTCTTGCTTATCCTTCTGAAAGAGGTTGTACTCCCCCACAGTCACAGTCAGACTCCTAATTTGCTTCCTAAAACCAAAGAAAAATGTTCCAATAAGTAGCTGTTTCTCCTAGGAAAGACTATCTTGTTTTCATGTAATTAAATGACAAGTGATTACTGTACCTTTAAGCATTTCTAAGTCTTAAAAGAAGATATACCTTTATTATTGATTATTACCAACTGTCATAATTCCCTATAAGTTATAGGAATCATAAAAAGTCATGGTTTTCAGTCATGGAGTGTTTACATTTTGTGAACTCTTTCTGCTACCATCAGTTGTCTTTCTGCATAAAATATGTGTGTGGCTCCTTTTCTTTTTTTACTCATAAACCAGTCTAAATACGCTCTACCATTTTTAACAAGATATAAAAGTTCCTAGAACTGTCCTTCATTTCCTCATATTAGTACCCTCTTTTAATCTAGCCAAATATGTTATTTCCAAAGTATATTTTCCCTCCTAATGACTGAAACTCAGATTAAAACTTTGGAGCAACCATTTAACATTTGACATTAATGCTTTATTAGAATAGGTAATTATTTTTCCCCACCACTAACTCCACACATTATAGATAATGTCTGGGGTCTCTGATTAGTAGGGCAGGAAGCATGGGAAATCTGGGGACAGACACAAGTTTCTGGGGATCAGGAAGGTGAGTGGGTGGGTAGACCAGATGCCAAAATTAAAAAAGGGGATTAGGATTTAATCTTGCATGGTTTTTAGAGCATCAAATCTCCCAGCCCTATCACCATGAATCAAAGTTTGACAAGTAATGGAAATCCACAACTTACTCATGAAGGCTAACCAGGCAGTGTGCTGCTGTAATCAGATCATCTTGAATCAAGCTTCCTCCACAGAAGTGGTGCTCACCTAATTTTAGGGAGACCTGCCTGAGAAGAAAGTCACAAACACAACTCCCCATAGATGTCGTCTCCTTCAAAAACATTTGAAATCAACTCTTCTTATATGGTATAACATTCTTAAAATACTGATATAAATTGGTTAGTAAGATATTTCCTATGAAGTAAACTTTTTGTCAGAAAAGTCAAGTGGGGTCAAGAGAAAAACTACGTTAACCTGGAGTTGTGATATTTGAAACAAAGGAAAAAATTCGCCGTTTTCTCATTAAGAAATCAATCCTTCATTATACTGACCTGCCACGGATGTCGACCAACTGTTGAATTTCTCCAATGGAAAGTTCTAGAGAAGAACCCAGATTCCAAGACCGTTTTGGAACTTTTCAAATCAGCTGCACGAATCCCACACTTCAGTCCTGCGTGGGAGAGCGTATGTGTGCGCACAGAGCACCTTATTTAAGGTACACTTTATCAAGAGTCCAAGTTCAGATTTTTCTGGCCTGGCACAGATGTTCTGCTATCACTCAGCTGCAGGCTATCCCCTTTCTTTTCTTGAGATATTCTCGAGAATATCTCGAGACTATCCCACAATCACCCCATGTTGACTAGAACTTGCTTCACGACTCCTTTGCCCCTTCGCAGCCTGTGCTGCCTTAACTGGAAAAGACCTGGGGGCAGGATGGGCCAGCTCTCCCTTTGGGCTTCCTCCGGGGGGATGCACAGTACATAATTTAGGTTGTATTAAAAACACTGGAGAAAAACATATGCTACTCTCACAGAGAGATATTTGGCTTTAAGTTACTTCTACTTGGTTATTGTTCCTTGGAGGAGGTTCCTTAGCAAAAGCATGGCTAGGAGATGTGCCTATAAACTTGAAGTCCAGAATCTAAAGAATTTCACAAAAAAAAGCTGGCCTAGGCCCTTCCTTGGGCACACCGGGGCCTGCACTATGCCCCCTCACCCTTCCTCCTTCCCGGCCTAGGGAGGAATGCGGGCTCCCTCTCCAGCGCTCGGCTCCTGCCTGCAGCCTCGGCGCCCAGGCTCCGGGCTCACCCAGGCTTTGGGGGAGGCCGATGGCGAGCCACAGCGGCACAGCAGCCCCAGCCAGCGCCCGCATGGCGCCCACGCGCGGGGACCGGCGCGTCTCCCTCGGTCGCAGGCTGCGGATACCGGGCGAGGAAGGCGGCCCCCGCGCTCCCCGCAGCCCGCCCGCCGCTCTGCACTCCCGCCCGCGGCGCCGGGCTCGCTGCCTTCCCTCCTCAGCATCGTCCCGAGACAGCCGCTGCAGCTCTGGCCGCGCCGGGCGTCATGGCAACCCCACCATCCGCCTCTACAGGCAGGCGCGAGGTGCCCCACGGCTGGTGGGCCGCTGCCACGTGTGCAGGGGGACCCTACTGACAGACGCCGGGGCAAGGTGATCAGCCACCCAGAACGCCCGCGCAGACGAATTCTGTCCTAGACCAGGGAGCATACCCCAAGCCCAGGGGCAAGGAAGCCGGTCAGAGACACGAGACACAGGCAGGCTGACTCCTGTAAGAAGGAAGATTCATGAAAGCTTAACGAGTACTTAGTAGTACTGCCTCTGCTTCTAAGAAACTTGCTGAAGCCCTGGACACTCAAGAGTTTTCCGAGTGGATATGAAAGATCAGGTTTATGCGGCCATTCCTTTCTGGGTTGCAGTGATGTCAGCTTCGGTGGAATGAGCCAAAGCTGTATGATCCATCATTTAAGATTATTAAAACGAATTCATTGCTAAGATTATCGTGTCAGCATTTTTTCCATAAATATTATTTTGTAATAAGTTAGCTTGAGGTTGGGAGAGGCATAAAGCTAGAATTTGTAACGGATTTATATATATATATATATTTTTTTTTTTTTTTGAGGAAGATTGGCCCTGAGCTAACATCTGTTGCCAATCTTCCTCTTTTTTTTTTTCTTTTTTCTCCCCAAAGCCCCTGTATATAGTTGTATATCCTAGTTGTAGGTTCTTCTAGTTCCTCTGTGTGGGATGCCACCTCAGCATGGCTTGATGAGCGGTGAATGTGTCCACACCCAGGATCCGAACCAGCGAACTCTGGGCCACCGAAGCTGAGTGCGTGAACTTAACCGCTCTGCCACGGGGCTGGCCCCAAGTAACGGATTTATATTTTATCAAAAAATTAGGGCACGGCTCAGTGGACATTCCATGTATTCAACTAACCTGGACACCAAGCCCCCAGGCCCAGTTGTCTCACTTCTGTGTAAGAAAAATAAAAGCTCCTGAGGGAGGAGGGTAAACAGACTGAGGGAGACAGGCAGGAGGTAGACAGGTGGACGGGAAAACAGAAGACAGTCAAGGTGGAGGGAATGCAGGTAGCAGGTGAGGATCAGCTGGGGGCAATGACCGCTGTAACTGCAGAAGGGAACAGGTGAATGGGCACCTTTTGGTGAAAAGCTTATAGAATTTGATTGTCACCCAGGCTTGAAACACACGTCTCAAAACTTCTTGTCTCATGAACCTAAAAAGGGTTTCTGTGATTTTTATGTCCCAAGTCTCACTACACTGAAAGTTTCTAGAGCTGCACTGCCTGATACGGTGGACACTAGCCATATGTGGTTATTTAAATTAAAGTTAACTAATATTAAATCAAATTAAAAATTTAGTTCTCAGTCACACTAGCTACATTTTAAGTGCTCAGTAGTCACCTGTGGCTAGTGGCTACGGTATTGGACAGCACCGATATGGAACATTGCCATCATTAGAGATAGTGCTATTGGAGTGCACTGTTCTTGAGAGTAGCCTCATTTTATTTCAAGGATTTATTTTAAATAAAGATATGTTAGATGACAGTTTCACTGAGTAGATGATTCCTGGGTTTCAAGCTTGGGTGTCTAGGGGACACTGGGAGGGGGCTTGGTAAGGGAAACAGCTCTTAGGTGAAAATAAAGCACTGTACCTCCAGGCTTGAGGACAGATCAGGAAATCTCCAGATATGGTGGCTGCCTGACAAATGGCCCTTACTACTCTCACAAAGATTACCACAACCATCCGTGGCCCCAGGGCACACTATTCTCCAATAAAAGCTCAGACCCTCCAAATGGACCCAAACTCCTCTCTTTCTTCTTAGCAAGAGGAGGTCAGATTAAAACCACTACCAAGCCTTTACTAAGTAAAATGAGAAAAGGAAAGAAAAAATGAACACATCTGCAAGTACAGTTGGACTCTCAATGTTGAAATTCATGGCTAACTTTCTCAAGAGGCTCAGACCCTGTCTCCTTGCACTCTTCTGCATGTGGTGCACACAACTTTGCAGGATCTTCAGTGGTTTCTTTCACACCCAGAAGTCTCCATGGAGTTGAGCACTGTCTCATTTCCTGTTACAGCACAGCTCCCTTTGTTTCCAGAGTTCAAAACTCGCAGCGTCAGGTGAGATTTTGTACTATACAGACGATTGGTCCCTTATAGGACTAACAAAATAATGCCTTTCCATTAAATAGGAAAAGAGCCATTCAATATAAATTGCATACATATCCAATAGCCACGTAGTTTTAGACTTAAATTTGCTAGTCAGATGATGGCTTTAGTACAAGTTAAGTTTATGGTGATGTTGAAGTGTCCAAATGGAAGTGTTCTCTTATTCAAAAAAAAAAAAAAAAAACTTTAGAAAAGGAAAGGATGTCAGGGAGGGGCAGGGTGGGCTGGACTACCCCAGATTGGGCTTACGATGTATGGGAAATCTGCCTTTAATTTGAACGTATCTTCCTTAGGGCAGGATAATAATGATCTGCTATTGGGGGCCTCTGAAGACTCTTGGTGGAAGGCCCAACTCTAAAAATAGTTGTAGAATTAGGAGTGTTAGGTGACTAGCCCACAAGCAACGAGCAAATTATGGGCAAATAATGTTTTGTGTAAAAAATAAACTTACTTTATCATCCCAGCTAAACCACTGGTCTAAACTCTAGAACCCTCTCCAAAGTCCCAGAAGGCTTAAGATTCAGCACTAAAGGGATTACTGGTGACCTTAGAAACAGCAGTTTCATTTGAATATTTGTTGCAGGGACAGATATCACCATGACACAGAGGGAATGTGAAGGACGGAGGTAGAAAGAATGGGTGAAGACAATTCATTCAAATAGTCTGGCTGTGAAGGACAGAAAGCAATGTGGTAGCACCTAGAGATGAAAAGAAATGAAGGATTTTTTTCAAATGATTTTGACGGTAGTTATCTGTATATGTGTTTTAAAATAGAAGAGAATTGACAAGAGCCAGCAAAAGGAAGAAATTAAAGATGAAAAAGAAAGAGGTTAAGGAATGGAATGAAGTTCTGCAAGAGGCATAATAGGGCCCTCTTCTTCCACTGTAGCAAGAGGAGGGAGGGAAGAACTGGGTGCAGTGAGTTTGTAGATGGAGCACAAGATATAGAGAGAGTACCTGTTTCCTACCCTGTATTTACTCTGTGAAGAAAGAGGTGAAGGCATCTACTCAGCAAGATGAGGGGAGGAGATCTGGAGTGGCTAAGTTCTGAAATAGTCATTGTGGGGTATGGGAAAGAGAGCAGACACAGAGCAATACAGAACAAGGCAATGCATGAATGAAGGAAGGAAGATGGTCTTTTTTATTTTTAAAGCAGATTCCTAATGGTGACATGGATTTCAATGGGTACTAATCACTGAGCACTTGAGAGATTGAAACAAGACAATTACTTTCATTGTATTTTATATAAAATAGATATTTACATAAATTTTATTTTGGAAAAACAAGGCAAAGTATACATAATCAGACTTAAATGGGAGAAATACTTTATGGAATATATTTCTAACTGGCACAGCAAAAGTAATAAAAATGTACATTTATATACAACTGATCAAATCAGGAAATAAAAGCATTATAAACAAGGAACAGGATGCAAGTCATTTCCCCTGACAAAAGGAGGGATTGGTGTGAGTTACAGCAAGTTAAATGATTTCCACATTAAAAAAGCCAGCCATGGCTTCTACAGATATTTTAATTCCTTAGGAGAAAAAAATGTTTAAATCTTTTTCCCCAGAAATATAACAAAATCACTAATTTTTATGTGTACAGACTGCAAAATAAGAGTAGTCACTGCTGCCATGTTAAAGCACTTAGGCAGCTCAGTCCCTTTTTGGGTTGTTTGTGTATGTGTTTTGTTGTGGTGATTATCTTAAGAATTTCCAAAACAAAGGGCAACATTTATCAGTTATCTCTTCAGGTGTAGAGATAACTGATCTACATCAGTTTCAGGAGACTCATAGAGCTTGACAGTTCCATAGAACTAACCAGTCTTTTAATGTGTGATAAATGGAACTGACACATTTGGTAACTTGCCCAGGGTGAGGTGGCTCCTCGGTGGCAGAGGCAGAAGTAGAACCCAGATCTGCCTATTCTCAGGCTGGTGCAGCCCCCTTATGGACAAGTAAGACAACCCCAAAAGGACATTATGCACATTGGACACTTCCAAATGTGATACACATGTACACCATGTGCACCACTGAGAATGGGAAGAAACTCCTGGATTTCTGGATATAGATATCTCTTTCCAGTTTGGGGTAACTGGTGATCTAAACTTATAAATTAATGATGACTGTATATTGTGATGGGTGCTGATTTTATGAGTTGTATATGCTAAAGGCTTTAATTGAAAGGATCCTTGGTGATAAAAATGGAACATTTTTATACGAACCAATTGATAATTATGAGTATCATCGACTCTGTTGTACTATTTGATTTTACTGATATTAAACCATTCCTTTGATCGCAGTTATGTCTACTCTTTAAGTTGCATGGCTACTAAGAACAAAAATAATGAGGAAGGGCTATTTTTGGAAGAATTGTTCAACATGTTTTTCTTTTACATCAAAAACTTCAAGAATAATCATAAAAAGTTATAATATTTCCCTATATATCTTTTTGGCATTGTAAGCTTTTGTCTTACTCAATTGCAGCCTAAATGCAAGATTTGAAAGGTATTTGCTCTTTTAAAAAGTCAGAAAATTTCATTTAGGTAGTTGTTTTGCTATTATTGGGACATACCAACATACAATTTAATCAAAGTAAATGTGATTTGGAAACCAGGAAAAAAATTAAAAACAAACCAACCACCTATAACTACATTTGCT